ATCAGTTTTTTTTCCTGTTCCTCACTCAAAACATTTCATCACCCATCTATTTGCCCTTGTACTGGCCATCTCCCATGCCTAGAATATACTGCCTCCTTCCTTCCACCTCATAGAGTCCTCTTTCCTTTAAGCCTACAGTTTTGAAACTTTTTAGTCTCAGGATCCCTTTATGTTATAAAATATTATAATATCTTATAAATTACAAATTAAAAAATATTGAGGACCTCAGTGTGCTATATATATATTTACCATATTAGAAATTAAAACACAACATAGTTATTATTAATATTTTAGAAACATTTATTCATTTATAATAATATACCCATTACATGTTCATATAAATAACATTTTTATAAAAAATTACTTTTCTAAGACCAAAAATACCATGAGAGAAGTAGCATTGTTTAAATATTTTTGCAAATATCTTTAATGGCTGACTTAGATAGCTGGATTTTCATGTCTGCTTCTATATTAAATCTGTTGTGAAAGTTTTGGTTAAAGTTTATAAATAAAATCCAGCCACGGGTAGATATATATTTGCATAAGGGAGGAGTATCTTAATAGGAAAATACCCTCTTAGTAAGAAAGAAGGAAGCAAGCAACCACTTTTTAAGCATCTATCTGCAAAGCACTGTGCTAAGCACTTTACAAATATTGTATCATTTGGTCCTCACAACAACCTAGGGAAATAGGTGCTATTATTATCATCCTTATTTTGCAGATGAGGAAACTGAAGCAAAGAGAGGGTTAAGTGACTTGCCCAGGGTCATACAGCTAATGACTATCTGCAGCTGGATTTGAACTCTTAAAGGGTCTTCTTTAATCCAGGCCCAGTGTTCAATCCACTGTACCAATGCAATTTGATAATTCAATTCAGTAAACATTTAATAAGCACCTCGTGTGTCCCAGGGACTCTGTTAAGCACTGGAAATACAAAATCAGGCAAAAGGCTGGCCTTGCCTTCAAGCAGTTTACAATCTAATGTGGGACACAACATGTGAGCAAAAATATACAAAGCAAGTTCTACACAGGATAAATAGGAAATAATTAAAAGAATTAAGAGGGTTTAGGGAAGGCTTCCACTAGAAAGTGGGATTTTAGTTGAGACTTAAGGGACACCACCTAGCTGCTTTCATAATTATCAAAATAGTTTTGATTTCTAGGACTCTCTGAAAGGGTTTTAATGACCCTCAGGATCACATTTAAGGTGCAGCTTAGGCACCATCTTATGCAGGAAGGCCTTCCTGATTCTTCCAACTGCTGGTGCCCTTCCTTCCAAACCACCTTGAATTTAACTGCTCTGTATATAGTTGTGTCCATTCCCTTTATGTTTAGGCCTTCTGTATTGTTACAGGCACTGGTTTTCTTCCTCTCCAATCTCCCCCCCCCCCAAAAAATTCCTTGAGAGTAGATTCACTCCCTGCTCTTGTATTCCCAATGCCTGGCACACACTAGGTAGTTAAAGAGTGATTGTGAATTGATTGCTTGATTGTTTGCTCAGCCTGACAGCCTTATTTGGCATAGAGAAGGATAGGGTCTGAACCCTGTGCTTTCTTTTTGCCGCCTTGGGAGTCATGTGACCACCCTCCTCCTCCACCTTCTTCCTCCCTTTCCTCTGAGGACAGAGAAAGGAGAGGTTTCATTTCTGCCTCCTTTCCACAAATGACTCAAGACCCCCAAGTGCTCCTTGTATGGAGCACCTGGAAGGTGTGTTCTGTGAGTATGGGATGTCCTCCTTGCTAGCCTAATTATTCTGCCCAGTGCTTTGAAGGTCAAGAAGATGACATAGCCTCCTTAATGAGCAGGCCTGAAAACCATTTAAAGCACAGGGTTCATCTGATAATATTTAATAACCGCCCTGATGGAGCTGAGGCCAGTGCAGGGGTAGCTCCCGTGAAGATGACTGATAGTTCCTATGTTAGAACCAGGGGGAAAATGTAGACATTGGAAGACATTTCTTAGCTGGTTAATGGGAAAGGCATTTTTCTTAATGAGACTTTGTTTTTAAAGACTTAGAGAAAAGCTTAGGCTTGGAAACTAGTATCTTTGGGATACATAATTTTTTTCCAGAATGACTAACCCTTCATATAAGAATGTACTATTCAGTTTATTGAAGTTGAAGGATTGTGAAAGGATGGATTTGGGGGAGAATTGAGTGGATGTTATCAGGAAGCAAAAGCATTATTTCATAGTAAGGTTAGTTTCTCATTCAAAGTTAATTCCACTTCCCCCCACCCTCCCTAAGTTAGAAACATACAAGGTGCAGGTAGTTCTTTTTACTAAATGCAAAAGTTATTTCTTAACTTTTATTTGCTTCACAATGGATCTTGCATGATAGCAGGGAGGCGTCTTATGTAAGACTTGAATGAATTCCTCAGAATTATTGAGTTAATGTGTATAAAGATAAAATTTCAAAGCAAACAGCACTTTGAGTAAACCGTTTTCAATTAAATCATTCTCAGAATTTGAACCTCGTTCTCATAGAAGTGGGAAAATGGTGTAGATAATACACATCATTAAATTTTGCTTTATTTATAAAGCGTAGTGCTAATAGGTACTCCTTTATCTAATGGAAATTTGACTGAAATCAAGCCCTTCATAAGAAAAAAAAGACTTCTTAGGCCTAAGCCCCCTGATTGAACCTGAAATTAGGGTCTGGTTTGCTATTAATGCCTGTGAGCTTCATACACGTTTTTGCAGTCTGCCTTTGGGTTGAAAGCCTCGGTGATCTGAAATTCAGGATACCAAATAAACCAGAGAGGGTATAAATCAGCACTGGAGGATATTTGTTATGTACTCTTGAAATTTGAAGCTAGTGAATATATGCTTCCCCTGCAGCCATCCCCTCAGAAACCTAACCCATTTGTCCCCATCTAAAACTCCATGTTTCCTCTCTGCTGGAGACTTTTCTTTAGTTGAACCTCCCGTTCTGGGGAAAAAAAAAAAATCTAGTTACCAGTCAAGACCAAAGCACAGCTGAGAAGTTTTGAAAGGCCAAGTGCCTTTAAGTTGCTTGTGTTCTGGCTCCAACTGTGTTTTCTTTCAACATTAAGTTCACCAGGGGGAAAAAAAAGAAAAGTTGAGACCAGAAAGAACACTGCTGTTAGAAATGCAGTATTTCTGCAATGATTGTAATGTATGTTGCTCACAGTGACAATCCGCTTATAGACCCTTCTCCCCACTCCTCCGGTTAAATTATTGTGAAAGGGACAGAAACACAAACTCAATGGGAGATGAAGTAGCAGTACTGTTTGGTGGCGGAATCTCACTGCCCTGTTCTCTCTCTCTCTCACTCTCTTTCCTGTATCAAATCCTACAACCACACCACACTAATTATCCCCAGAATGGGAGGGGTTGCCATGGTGACTGAGCACTTTTTAAAGCACAGGAATGGTGTTCATTATTGTTCGGTGTCTTTAGCCCTGGGGAAAAGGTCAGTGTGTAGCTGTTGTTTTCCATATGAATTTTGGCCGTAGAGCCAAACGGAAGGCAGTAGGGACTACCTAGGAGAAGGTAAGATGGTGTTTTTGAGCTATACATACGAAGTTGGTGAGAGTAGTTTGTTTTAGTTTTTCACTGCTCTGCAGCCAAGTAATTGCAAAACTCTCTTTGACTGTTAAACAAGGAAAAGTAAAATGGAAAAAAAGAGAAAATTAGTGAATCGTGTGCTTTTTTTTTTGTATAAGTCAGGTGAAGAATCTTTCCAAGCACAAGATACTTTATTCTAAAGAATTTGAATATCAGATTTATTTACTTTTGAAAGGTTTGTTTGAATTAGTCTTAAAAACTGTATTATTCTTAGGATAAAGAATTTTTATTTAGGTAAATAACCAATATGATTTTCTATATAAATGATTTTCTGGTCAAATTAAATTTTCTAGTGAAAACGTTAGATATATCTAATCAGTTAAACATTTTATAGTAATCTTAAGAAAAAGATTGTTTGTTAGATACTATGATCTGATGTGTGATTTTGGTATTACAAAATAAGATTAAAAAGAACAACTAAGTTTGGAAGATCTATTTAGACTCCTGAGTTATAATGACAATAATTATGTTTCTAGTTCTTTCTTCAGTTGGCTAAGCCTATTTTAAATAATTAAGAGTAAAAACTGTGGGGCCAGGATGACTGCTCTTGTTAAAATGGACTGCTTCTTGTTGTTTTTGCAAGACAATGACTCTTCTTTGAAATGTAACATTCTACTAGTTGAAGAACTTGTAATTATTTCATCTGAAATACCAAGACTCATTTTTTTTTTAATTTATTTTCATTGTCTTTGGAAAAGTTGTATGTATAAATACTTTTAAGCCTAGCTTTGTGTTGTCTGGCTGACATAGACAGATTTTCTCTTTAGGAACAGAGATTAAGCTTCTTCTGTATTTTTCATACTTTTAAAGCTATTTATAAGGCTGCCCCATGGTCCTCTTTATAGAGAGTTAACTAAGGTGGCAAGATACCAATGAAATGAAAGGGAAAGGCTGATTAAACAAACAAAACCAGTGACTAAAGACACTGTAAATGTGGCACTTACCTTGCCTGCTTAGTCTGCTTCATGCTGAAGAAATAATGTTATTTGGTCAGAATTTAGTATCTGGAAAGATGAGGGGGAATTTTTTTTTATAATTGTAAGTCTTTTGGCTTGATTTCTTATGCTTTTAATTACATAAACATGTTACTTTCTTCTCATACTCTATATAAATAACTGTGATTAACTTCAAATTAATAGGTAGGTTGGCTGCTAGACCGGAAATTGAGAAATACTTGAATGTCCTTTTTTCCTCTTTCTTACCTCTCCACTGATCACCACTTGTGACCCTGGGCATAAGACGGATAACCCCATTGGGTCACAATTTCTTTGTCTGTAGTGACAAGGTTAATATTAGGTTGCAGATACAAAAATGTGGTATTCTGAGATCTCTCTGAGGTTCTTGAGGAAAAATACTTTGTAAAATATTGTAGTGGTGCTGACCTTATTTAAAGTTTGCTCATTTCTCTTTAGATGCCGGATCAGTTTGATCAAGCGCTAGTGCTTAACCAACTGAAATATTCTGGGATGCTGGAGACTGTGAGAATAAGAAAAGCTGGGTTTCCTGTCCGAAGACCTTTTCAGGATTTTTGTAAAAGGTAAATAAGTTGTTAGACCATTGAAGTACATTGTATCCTATTATTTACAAGGAGCTTTAGAGAATAGAAAGTTATGGGGAATTCATTACACCAACTAAATATGGAATGTGCCTCACAGGTATAAAGTACTGTTGAGAAATCTGACTCTTCCTGAAGATGTCAAAGGAAAATGCACCGTCCTGCTTCACCACTATGATGACACTGACAGTGAGTGGCAGCTTGGAAAGACTAAGGTAAGAATTACTGTGGTTATAACATGCTTATAACATGACTATAGTTATCCAGTCTTTTTCACATCTTCAGAATAGGTGTTCTGTTAGTTAAAGTCCATAAACATTCCAGTATTCTTTTCTCTAAATCCATGCTCTTAGGCTCCATGAGGACAGACACTGTTATCTTGTTTAACCTATGTATCTTCTCCATCACCCAAGCTAGTGCTGATTAATAAGTTTTTTGAATTGGATGTTTTCATTAAACACCATTTTTTAAAAAAAACTGCCTTTTGCATACGTAATTTCTTAAGAATTTGTGCCATTTTATTTTATCAAGCATTTTTATTTCTGTGTCTGTAAACTGAGTACTACTATACTCAACTCAATATGCTAGAGGAACGCTAGGAAAGAAATGGTTTGTGGTATTTAGGTAAATTCAGTTGACTTACTAATGTGAGTTTGCTTACATTGTCAAGCTTATCCATTATTATATTGTTTCATGTCTGCCGAAAAGTTGAATTGAATTATAGCATCAAGTAAAGGTTGAATCTTTATAGTACTATGATATGTCAATTAGTGAATACACTGGGAATTGAAATTATTTCATGATAGAGTCTATGTTGTTAAGGAAAAAATGACTCATTGTGCAAAGCAGTGTTAGGAGTGTCATACAACACAGTTTCTGAGGAGCTGTGTTATATGTAGTTAGGCAGGATGGAAATAGCCATGACAGCTTTTCTTTGCTGACAACAATTGGGCCAACCCAAAAAAGATTTGGAGTTGTAAAAGTTTGTCTTCAGCATCTTTAATTTTCCCTTTCTTCTCCATTATTTCCCCAATCTCCTTGACAACACCATCCCTCAGATACCATATCTTTCTGTTCCCCAGCCTTCTCCCTGCCTCCAAAACAAGAAAAAGATAAGATATGGAATATTAGAACTATCATATTATGTTTGTTACAAAAAGAGAACAGTCCCTGTCCTCAAAGAGCTTATATCCTAGTGGGAGAGACAAGTATGTATATAGGCATATACAGGCTATATAGAAATCAAGTACAAGGTAACCCCAGGTCTTCCTTTTCTTAGCTTAATATATTTTTTATTTTTCCAGTCTATTTGCTCATAACTTCATATACTTCAAATTGAGTGGTTCTATGTTCTCATTGTGTCAAGTAAGGACTAATCTGGATGAATGAGTGCACTAATATGTGCTTAGTATGCTTGAAGGAAAAGAATCCCCTTAGCTACATTGGGCATAAAAAGATTGGCTAGCAATAAGTGGCTAAATAATTCAAACTGGGAGTAATAAAAAGACAGAAATACCTGACTTATATTATCTGCAGATTGCTATTACCTGAGTTCCCAGGTCACTTTTTCAGAAAGAAATATTACATCTGTAGTTCAGCTGACAAAAGCAATCAATGGAAGGCATTTATTAATCACCTATACAAAGAATTAAGGAACAAAAACCAGTATTGGGTCACAGTCCTTGCTTGGCCTTGAGAAGCTTATAAACTTCTTGTAGAGAACAGACTTAGGCAAGTATTACAGCTTTATAGAGATTATACAATTTTAAGAAATTCAGGCTAAAAAAAAATGCCATTGTTTAGATGGTAAATCAGGAAAATTAGTATAAATAAAGTAACTCTTGTGGCTGTATTATGACAAATACACAATTTGGTAGAGCTTAAAGAGAAAGTAGGAGAATAATGTTAGCAAAATCACAGAGGCAGGAATGGGTGAATTGTATTTTTGGTATAATGTGGGAGATTGCTTAGCTCAAACAGTGGGCTTATATTGGGGAGTGGTGAGAGAGGAAGTTGGTTGTGTAAAGCAAGAGTTTAAAATAAGAGCTTCCATTTTATAGCGTTTTAAATTATTCTTCCCATAGTGTTTCATAGTTTTACAGAGAGTTATAGGTAATTTCATAGATTTAGAACTAGAAAGGGCCTTCAGATCACATAGTACAACATCATAATTTTATGGATGAGGAAACTGAGGTCAGAGAGCTTAAGTGACTTGTCTATGATCATACTGGTAGTGTTAAGAGTTGGCACCAGAACCCAGGACATCTGCCTCTAAACCCATTCCCCACCCCATCCCCCTCAACTGAATGATTGTGCACATAGTGACCATTTAGATATGTTATTGACTTCATTCTTTTCATTCTCCACCACCCCACCCATAGTTTCTAAAGTAAAAAATAAATGTATCCTTTTCCACCCAATTTGCCAAATTGCTGTTTTCATAAGAAATAAAAGGAGCATTTATTTTCCTACAAAATTATTGTCACCGAAGGGGTCTTAGAGATCATGTCATGCTACTTCATTATTACACAAATGTGGAAGCAGAGGACAAAAATGTAAAATGACTTCTCTAGCATGACATTCATCCAGTTAGGGGCAGAAGCAAAGATTAGAACCCAGTTTTCCTGGTTCTTAATCCAGTTCTCTTTCTATTGAAACCCTCTGCCTTCTAGAAATAACCTAGACTAGAAGAGTCAACCACAGCCCTCCAGGCTACAGAACAGCCAGTTGTAGAGTCAGAGACAGGAGCTTGTAGGGCACAGCAAGGAGGCCAGTATGTCTGGTCTGAAGAGCTTAGCAGGGCAGTGATGCATGCGTGCTGGAAAGAAAGAAATGGTCATGAAGAGCTTTAAGTGTCAAGGAGTTTGATATTTGATTCTAGACACAGTAGAGAGCCCCTGGAATTTAATGAGCTGGGGGAGGGTTGACATGGTCAGGGCTATACTTTAGGAAAAGCTCTTTGGCATCTATGTGGAAGATGGATTAGAGAGGGAATAGTTTTGAGACAGGGATACCCAGTTGTAGGCTATTTCTGTTGTAGAAGTAACGAGGGCTTGAATTATGCTTGTAGCTATGTGAGCAGAGAGAATGGCAGGGACGTTATGAATATAGAAATGACAAGATTTGCAACTTATTGGATATGTTTATAGTGAACAGTCAAGGATGTCAACAAGATTGTGAACTGGGGTGATGAAGAAGATGGGGGGCACTCAGCAGATCTGAAGATGGCGGAGGAATCTTAGTGCAGACGTGTCCTCGTTTCTCACCTGGTTGCACTACTCTGGGGCTTTTCTGACTTCTCCAGCCATGGCCTCAAGTACCTCCCTGTCCTACACTGCACTCCAGCTTCTTTGCTCTTCAGCTTCCTTTTGTGTGTTACTGTCCCCTAGCAGATGGCAAGCTCCTTGAGAGAAAGGATTGCCTTTTTTTTTTCTTTTCCATATTTGTATTCCCAGCACTTGGCACAGTACCTGGCACATGGTAGATGCTTAATAACTGTTTATTATGATTGACAGAAAGAAGTTGAGAAGAGGGGATTGGTGTGAGGGAAAATGATAAGTTCCATTTTTGGACGTATTAAATTTGAGGTGCTTCCAGGACATTAGTGTTAAATGTCCAAAGGGCAATTGGAATTGTGGAACTGGTGCTCAGGAAAGAAACAAGGGATGGTAAGCATCTGTGTGGATAATGGTCATTCATAAGGTACAAGATTAATTTTTGGATAGCTTTGATTGTTTGGAAGTTTTCATGACATTAAATCTAAAAACTCCCTGCAGCTTCTACTCGTTCCTAGTTCTTCCCTCTTGGGAACAAGTAAAATAAGTCTAATTTCTCTTCTTTATGGAAGCCCTTCTGAGACTAAACATGGTTATCAGGTCTCATCTAAATCTCCTCCAGGTTAAATACTACCGTTTTCTTGAAGTGATCCTCTTTTCATACATTCTCTAGTCCCTTCACCGCCCTGGTCACGCTCTTCTGGATGTACTCCAGCTTCTCCATTTCTTTCCTAAAATGTGTCATCTCTCACACTGAAATATTCCATATTTGATCTCATGGAGGCTGAGGATAATAGGGTGGTAACTTGCTTCATTCTGGACCGGGGTGGAGAACCAATGGACTCGAGGCCATATGTGACCTCCTAGGTCTTTAGGCATGGCCTTTTGACTGAGTCCAAGTTTTACAGAACAAATCCTTTTATTAAGAGGATTTGTTCTGTGAAGTTTGGATTCAAAGGGCTGCACTTGAGCACCTTGAGTGCCACTGTTCTGGACACTTAACTCTTTTTTTTTTTTAATGAAGCCATTAGATTTTGGCATTGTCTTTTTTTTTTCTTTAATATATACTTAACTTTATTTCTTTTTTGGGGGGGGGGGGGTACTAGGCAATGGGGTTAAGTGACTTGCCCAGAGTCACACAGCTAGTAAGTGTTAAGTGTCTGGGGCTGTATTTGAACTCAGGTCCTCCTGAATCCGGGGCTGGTGCTCTATCCACTGCGCCACCTAGCTGCCTCTGGCGTTGTCTTTTAATACTGCAGTTTGATGCAGTTGTTTTTTCATATAGCTTGCAGTCCAACAAAGCCCTTAGATCTTCTTTACACAAACTTTTAGCTAGGGTACACCATCGCCATCTTTGTATTTTTGACATTGGTTTTTTGAATACAAGTGTAGGACTTTACATTTATCTTTATCAAATCTTGTCTTGCTAGGTTTGGCCTATAATTCTAGTCTATGAAATCTCTTTTTGGATCATATAACCAGAGTCTGCCTAACCCTTCAAGTTCTTCCATTCTCTTCTGCCCCCCTATTTTGAACACAGGTCAAGAGCCTCACTTCCCTCTGCTCTAAGGTTTCTGTAGAATAAGAGTTTAAAGTTCAAAGGGACCATACAGATGATATGGTCATTTGCTTAGTTTTTTCTTTTGTTTTGTTATTTTTACTTCTGTCATATTTGTTTTCTTATCTTGTAGAAATACATGCCTAGACACCCTGTTAATAGTGGAAAGAGAACTGAATATTCAGTCAGAGAACTTGGGTTTTAATTCTGATTCTGCTATATAAAGTCTGTATATGACCTTAAGAAAGTCTCTTCACCTTTCTGAGCCTCAGTTTACTCATCTGTAAAATGAGGGGGTAAGATTTTCTTAGGTTTCTTCTAATTCTGTATCCTTTGCCTTACTATGATGTTTGTGCCTTTTGTAGCACAGTTTGGAGCAATAACACAGTGGAAAGCATCTTCTTTGTTAATGGAGGGATTATTGTACCCATAACCAATTAATCCAGAGGAACCCAAGTTGTTTAACCAAAGTGATAGGAAAAAATTAGTTTGTTCATAGTCTAATTTCAGTATATTTAATATCTCTATGGGGGTTGGGGGAAAACACGTCATATCTTCAGATTGCTTTGCTCTGATTCTCATGAAGAGTGTCACATTATCCCAGTTTGGAGCCGGACTTTGGAAATGTTTGGTTTAACAACTTAGAGTTCTCTGTATATAGTTATATTCACTCAAGATGTTAAGTCATATATATAAAACTTAATTTCATTTTATGAAGTTTTCAGTGGTTTTTTTTTAAAAGCTTTTTGTTTTATTTTTACTAAAAAAAGAAATTTTTAGAAAAGAAAACCCACTGAAATCAGAACCATGACAAATATCAGATATAGTTTGTGTTCCTTAATGGGGATAGTCATTTTTCCTCTGCAGATTTTTTAATTTCTTTTTTCAGTTCTAATTTTCAAGTCTTTATATGGCATATATTCTTCTCCAGTATACTGTAGGGCAGACACGATAAAAACAATTTTCTTTATAATTTTTCTGTACTCTTAAAAAAAAAAACTTTCAAATGAAAAAGAAGTCCAGGGGTTTAGTTTGTTATGATAATGGATGAATGCTAACTAAAGGGAAATAAACTGGCCAGATTGTTATCTTTACCCTTAACAAAGCTGAAGCTTACTTGTGTGCATACTTATATTTAAATTATGTCTCCCTGAAAGAATGCACTTTGTTTGTTGAGTTTCTTTTAAACTAGTTCCAGAACAAAGAGCAATAGAGAGCAGTCTTAAAGATTAAAGATTCTGGGGCTGGGTGGGACTTGGTAATCCTTGGTAATCCTTTTTCCCTTCCAGGGAAAAGTATATTGACCAAGAAAATAAGTTTACATGCTGTCAAATTTTTATGAAACCGGATTTTGGTTACATAATTGTGATATAAAGAGATTGCTATTTGGGGAAACACTAACAATGAAATAGACCCAGTTATTGTACTCAATGGTTTTGTCATCTGTGTCTTTTACATAAATATCCTAGATATTTAATCCATTTGTATACAAATAACTTTCCTATGTAAAAATATTAAAAACTTCTTGTACAATATCCGATTTTTAGAGTTTCAGGAGAAAATTTAGGGAAGCTGGCACTTGATGTGATTTTTGAAGTTTGTTTGTATTTTTACCTGAATGCTGTTGAAAGGAGTGGGAAAGTGTGTCTTAGAGCTTAAGTTCCTCACTATTTGACTTATGGGAAGCACTAAAATTAAGATCATGTGTGATGAGGTTTAGCAGCCAAAAAATTGTTTCTACAGGCTAAAAATTAAATCCTAAGTCAAAATGTAAGGATAGATTTCCCCTCTTTTTTAGGAAAGACATCCAAAACCTCTTAATTATGTCTTAATTCTTAAAAAAAAAAAATGAAGTAGAAAATGACATTCATTTGCAGCCATAAAATTTGTACTTCTTTTTAAAAGTTAGAATTCACGAGTAGCCAGTTGCTGCAGTGGATAGAGCAACCAGCCCCCTGGAGTCAGGAAGACCTGAGTTGAAATCCGCCTCAGACACATAACATTCACTAGCTGTGTGACTCTGGGCAAGTCACTTAACCTAAATTGCCTCACCAAAACAAACAAACAAACAAACAAACAAATAAATAAATAAATAAATAAAAATAGAAGTTCAGATTCATAGTGTAAAACTTACACCAGATTATCCATGATGCTCAACCTCTTCTCCTCCCAATTAAAGGGTATTATTTTTATTTGGCAAGTAGACATAATACCTTACTGTGAATGGAGGCTTTGTGTTCTTGCCCCCAAGGAGTAGGCTTAGGAATTATCTTCAGGAGTCTTCTCATTAAGTATGATGTACCAAAAATATTCTCTATTTTTATCATTTATCAGGAATTCATAAACCACTCCAAAAGTTTCTTTTCAAGGATTAAATTCTTAATATAAAATCATTATATGAATGCATGTTCCCAGAATAATAGATGTAGTGAACTGGAGCTAGCTGTCATCATTTAATATTCATTAATGAATGGACCAACATCAAAACAAATGTTTGGCTAAACATAGTGACATTTGGGAAAATAGCTTCAGTGAGAAGATCATTGTCATTGGATTTCCTTTTTGTTCTATGAAAAAAAAAATCTTTCACTTGTTACTAACAATTCAGAAATTTAATATTCTACATGTGGGTCCAAAATATAACTCATTTCATCCCCAATAGGTTCTGTCCTCTGATTCTGAGTTATTCCATGAGTGTAAAACCTGTTTTTCTGGCAGCTTGGTCTTTCAGAGGTCCTGACATCCGAATTTTCTCTGAGCAGGTTTTCCTTCGGGAGTCCTTAGAACAGAAGCTGGAGAAACAGCGGGAAAAGGAGGTCTTCCGGGCTGCCATGGTGATCCGTGCTCACATCCTTGGCTATCTGGCGCGGTGTGTAACCTGTTAAACCATAACACATAAGACATGCTTTTCCTGCTTTTGTATAGCGTTATTGAATAATCTAAGATTTTGTGAATTCAATTTAAAATTACTTTGGGACTCTGAGAGGAAGAGTTGAGTAAAGTGAAGTTTGTTTTTGCTGCTGTCTTCTACTCCCGAACCCCAATCATTCCATCTACTGCTATGTTATGTGATCTCAGTCTTGATAAAAACAAGGAAAAAGGACCTATCACTGATATTAAAAAGAGAAAAATGACATTAGGTGACTATGCTGAAATGTTTTAATTTGCTTACCTAGTTTCATGCATTATAGATTAGAGTCCTGATAGTACAACCCATCTGTTTACTTTTGTATTTTCTCAGTAACTCAATAGAGGCCTGTTCAGGAGTAGTTTGCATAATGAGACCATTTCTTTTCATGTGTATATTAGTTCTGTCCACACATACTGGACAATATGTCACTCAAAACACCATGCATTCCTTTTTCTATAGGACAAAGCTGCCCTGCTGTGGTAATTTCTTTTATAGAATCAGGAGATACATCAAACCTCCTTTCATTTCTAAGAGAATCTTCTTGTCGGGGTCATAAAAAATATAGCACTAGGTGATGTGCATTTATTTTGTCAAGATAATGCTAGTTTCCTCACAAAATGGACATTGTGCTCTGGGTGGGAGTAGAGTGGTGGTGGAGAGAGCATCACCATAATGGAATGATTGTTACAAAGCTAGGTGCTGCTTATGTTCTTTTTGCTGCCCTGAAATCATAAAGCAAACGATTCTCAAGGAACCTCTGTTTCCATGACTCATCTGACCCTCTGCACCATGTTGGTTGTTCTTCCTTCAGGAAGCAGTACAGAAAAGTCCTTTATCATGTAGTTATCATACAAAAGAACTACAGAGCCTTCCTCATGAGGAGAAGATTCTTGGGTCTGAAGAAAGCAGCTGTAGTGTTCCAGAAACAGCGGAGGGGCCAAATTGCTCGACGAGTTTACAAACAAATGCTAGAAGAGAAACGGAATCGGGAAGAGAAGAGGAGAAAGGAGGAGCAAGAAAGGTGCTGTGTGGTCTAGTACTTGGATTTAACTGAAAATTATAGTTTAGATTTCATTCTGAACATCTTTTGTAGCAGGCATTCATGGTGAATGTTTCAGATCCTTTTAAAAACAACAATAATAAATTATTCCTCTCCGACTGAGTCAGTATGTTAATGTCTTAGATTTAGAGTACACTTAGTACTGCCTTGGAGCGTTATGCCCATTTTTATTTATTTTTTGGTCGGGGTGGAATCAATTTCTGTAATTTCCTCCAAGTGGAATAGTCTTGATAGAGGAAATTTCCCCCACTGATGCTGGTCCCAGTCAATAACCTAGAGTGTTGCTGGACCTGCTGGAGGGGAAGAAGCTGGCCCATGATCACAGAGTTAGTCTGAGTGAGAGTCAGATCTTGAACTCAGGTATTTCCCGACTTCCAAACTAGCCTTATATTCACTTTGCTGTGTTTCTTATTTTTATCTATAGGTAGAATAAACATATTTCAAAAGAGTAGTTATAACCTTCATTGTCTTAAAGTGTCTGCATGTAATTAGCAAATTACTATTGGAAAATAAGTGTCTTCAGTGGGGATGGGGGGCAGTCAGGGTTAAGTGACTTGCCCAGGGTCACCCAACTAGTCATACCTTGTCTGAGGCCAGATTTGAACTCAGGTCTTTCTGACTCTGGGGCCTGTACACTAGCCACTGTGCCAACTGGATGTCCCCAAGTGTCTCTTAATAAGGTGTTATATTTTGTTATGTTCACTTTCTTTTTCTTAATTTTCTAGGGAAAGAGAAAAGAAGAGACAAGAAGCTGAGCTTCTTGCCCAGAAGGTAAAGAATGGTTTGATAACTTGGCTTCCCTATTATCCTTTTTTCTTTTCACTCCTAACAACTAGCCCACTGAATTGTTTTAAAATGTAACATGTCCAAAATGGAGGTCATTATTATTCTCCAAAATGCCCTTCTCCTAACTTCTCAATTTTTGTTTATGGCAGCACCATTATCCTCACATCCCTTAGACTTGAAATGTTGGAGTCACCTCATACTCCTTTCTTCTACCATAAAAATTATTGCATAATACTGTTGATTCTGCCTGAGCAGTATATCTCCCATCTCCCCACTCCTTTCTAATTCCACTGCTGTGATCCTAGTTAAGGCCCTCATTAGCTAAGGTGTTGTAATAATCTCTGCCTAACCTCCTTGTCTCCAGTCTGTCCTCTTTCCAATCTGTTCTTTGCACCAGCACTGGATTATTCTTCCCAAAATGCAAGTCTTAGCACATCGTGTCTCTGAACAGAAATCTTCAGTAACTCCCTATTGCTTATTTTATATTATTGCCTAGCATTCAAGGCAGTGTGCATAGCCAGAATGGACAGGCCTCTATTCTTCAATCTTATCCTGCCTTTTTTTACTCTCTATTTCTAGGAATCTTCCATTCCTAGACTGTTCTGTCCCTAAAATACCACTATTCGTACTTCTCTTCCCTCCTTCCAAGGATATATTTATTATGTACCTTCAAGGATATATTATGGAGTCCGTAAGCATTTATTGAGTGCCTACTACGTGCTCGGCACTGTGCTAAGGGCTCGGGGATACAAAGAAAAGGAAAGAACCCCCGTCCTTTCCTTGAGGAGCTCACAATCTAATAGGAGAGGCAACATGCAAACGACTCTATACGTGTAAGCTAAATGCAGGATAAATAGGAGGTAGTCAGCAGAGGGACTGGGACAGGCTTCATATAGCAGTGGGATTTTATTTGAGATTTAAATCAGGAACCCCAGAAGATGTAGATGAGGAAGAAGAGCATGCCAAGCATGGAGACAACCGGTAAAAATGTCCTGGACCCAAGAGATGAAGTGTTTTGTTCAAGACTAAATTCCCGAGTGTGTGGTAGGAGGACATAAGGTATAAGAAGACTGGAAAGGCAGGGGGAAAGGACAGGTTTTGAAGGGCTTTGAACACCAAATAGAATTTTATGTTTGATCCTGGAGGCGGTGTGGAGGCACTGGTGTTTACTGAATAGGGAGGGCACATGGTTAAATCTGTGCTTTAGAAAAATCACTTTGACATTGAGCATAGGATGGCCTGGAGCAGGGAGCAGGGTCTGCACTTGTGACATGCAGACCCCACCATCAGGCTGTTGTAAGAGTCTCGGTGTAGGAAATGAGCACTGGTGACAGGGGGTTTGGTGACAGTGTCAGGAGAAAGGGGGGCATAGTTGAGAGATTCAAAGGCGAAATTATCAGGTCTTGATGGCAGATTGGAAAATGGGAGTGGTGGTGTGCAAAGAGAGTGAGGAATCAAAGATGAACTGATTTTACAAGCCTAGGGGACTGGGAGGATGGTGGTATCCTTGATAGTAATAGGTTAAGTTTGGAAACCTGCTGCCTCTATTCAAGGAATTCGGTTCACTAAACACTTGTAAGGCTCTATCTGAGTCCCACCAGTCATTAATTATCTCTCCTCACCTAAAACTGTACTGATTACTCTGTTCCTTTGCTTACTTACATTATTATAATTTGTATTAGTTATTTGTTTATTTTTCGTCTTGTCCCTGCTGGACTGTAAGCAATTTGGAGACAGGGGTTACATCATACATCTTTGTATCCTGGTAGCCTTGTACAGAGTGAGCAAACTTAATTTATGTGTGCTGAATTGGATTGTCCCTTGGGAATTGGAATCAGACAACAAATAGAAAAAAGTAAACTCAATAAAATATGTCGTGTGGGAATTTCCTACTCCTTGCCTTGTTTTTTTTGTACCAAGAAAAATTTTGTGCAATTGAGTTTCTCATTATGAAGTTAATTTCCATAGTCCAGTGAAACTTTTCCATCTAGATCCTTACTGCTTATGATATAATGTGTTGGCCCCTCATTGCAGTGTGTATTGAAACGTGCTGAAGTCTCACATTTCTCCTCTGAACAGGCTGAAGAGGCAAGGAGACTGAAAGAGCTTGAAGCCCTTCAGAAGGAAGAGCAGCTGAAACAGGAGATGGAAAAGCAGAAAGAAAACAAACAAGTGGAAGAGATCTTACGCCTGGAGAAGGAGATAGAGGATCTGCAGCGGGTGAAGGAGCAGCAGGAGCTGTCCTTGACAGAGGCTTCCTTGCAAAGACTGCAGGAGCTCCGGGACCAGGAGCTCAGGAGGCTTGAAGATGAAGCCTGCCGAGCAGCCCAGGAGTTCCTGGAATCCCTTAACTTCGATGAGATCGATGAATGTGTCAGAAATATCGAGAGGTCCCTCTCTGTGGGCAGTGGCTTTTCTGCAGAGCTCAGTGAACTGGTTAATGACGCCTGTGGGGAAAAGCCCAATTTCAACTTCAGTCAGCCTTACCCCGAGGAGGAGGTAGATGAAGGTTTTGAGGCTGATGATGATGCATTTAAGGATTCGCCAAACCCAAGTGAGCATGGCCATTCCGATCAGAGAACGAGCGGCATTCGGACAAGCGATGACTCCTCAGAGGAGGATCCCTACATGAATGACACAGTGGTGCCTACAAGCCCTAGCGCTGACAGTACTGTGCTTTTGACGCCCTCTGTCAATGACTCCGTCAGCCTACACAACTCATCGAGTGGGGAGTCTACCTACTGCATGCCCCAGAATTCTGGAGACCTTATTTCCCCAGATGGTGACTATGACTATGACCAGGATGATTATGAAGATGGGGCTATCACGTCAGGCAGCAGTGTGACTTTCTCCAACTCTCAAAGTAGCCAGTGGTCCCCTGACTATCGCTGTTCAGTGGGGACATACAACAGCTCAGGAGCCTACCGCTTTAGTTCTGAGGGAGCACAGTCCTCCGTAAGTACATACTGTTGTTTTTGTAATTGCTAAGCACATTTTGAAAATTTTCACTGTCTCAACCCATGTGCACCAATTTCTTTAGGTCAAATAATACAAAATGTACAGAATCCATCATTTACCCAACAATAACAAGCTCTTTAAAGCCTTTAATTTTCGAAGAGGATTTTCATTAGCAAATAGAAGCCTTTGATAGTGCCTTCTGTATGTAGCTACCTACACACCTAGAATTGAATTTTGCCTGAAGCCTGATAAAACTGGCATGTGTTTACTTGGGGCCTGAGCAATGTCACCCATGGCTTTTGTAGTAGGTTAGGAAATGAGATGCCATTACCCAGCACCAGAATTGCCAACGGCATATTGGGAAAAGTTTGGAAGAGTTGCTTCACATTTCACTCAATTGAATATTATTTCTGATAGTGTTAAAAAGATGAGGAATAGGTTGTAACTGCTATAATTTTTATTGTTTTGTCAAATCCTTTTCTTAATTAGGTTAGTTAATTGTATGAATTCACCACCCCTCTTCCCTCAGTTCTCACCTTATACTCCAGTTCATGCATTAAGTTCCTCCTACATTTTATTGCATATCTTAAATATATTAATCTCTTAAATAAATATCTTTAAATGTTTTTAGCATGGCAACTTAAGATAAATTAACTTTTAAATAATTTGGTTACCATTTTATCCTTTAAACAGCAAGGTTGTATTGTGTTTATATATTAAGATAGACACCTTCAGATTATGTGAAATCAATCTGTACATTCTAGAATAGTTCAATGAATTGCTTGAATTCAGAATGTTGACGTACATTTAACCTTATTATGAACACCTGACCCTACTTTATATCTGGACACTAATAACTTTCAAAAGAAAAGTTGCCCTCTGCATGATGCATACCATCATTATTTTGTTCACTGCATACTTTTATGTTTGATTTTTGATATTTTCCTTCTTTTTATACAGTTTGAAGACAGTGAAGAAGACTTTGATTCTAGATTTGATACAGATGATGAACTCTCTTACCGAAGAGACTCAGTCTATAGCTGTGTCAGCCTGCCGTACTTCCACAGCTTTCTGTACATGAAAGGTATGTTTCCAGGTCACACGGATTCTGTGGTTTTGGATAGAGCAATAGATTAGTAATGAAAGAACTCGGATTCCTTTCGACCATGCAGTCTCACAAGAGAGACAGACGGTAATCTTCTTTTTCCGTGATGGCGGTAATGAGGCTGTGTTTGCCTGCTACCTACCCCAGAGCTGGGATGGTGACATACCTGCATCTGGTAGGACATATAATTTACCATCTTGAATTCTGCCTTCTCGTCGTGGGGACGTTCGGGTTTGTGATTTCTACTGTCTTCCCCCCATGTCAGTACTGGCAGCATTCTGTCTTTTATCTTTCTGTCTCTGAGACAGAGGGGGAGGAAGACACACACACACACACACACAAGACTGTATTTTATGGAGGCCAGGTGCATTGATTATTAGCATTTTCCTTTCTCTCACAGGGGGTACAAAGAACAGAGATGGGTGTGGCATCTGTGAGTAGTAGAAAGAGCACACCCTGATTACTTAAATAGCCTGCCACACCCCTTAACAGTCAGCCTTTGTGTTGCCTAGTGGGATTTTTGGTCCTGAAGATGGTTTGCCATTTTGTGTGTTCACCATTAAGGAATTGTCAAGTATTTTGCTAGCACTTTACCTTGACTGTTTGCTGCAATGTGGGAGGGGCATTAGCAGTGATCACCAGAGTTCTCTTTTCTCCCTTAAGTAAACAGAGGTGGAACAGGAAAGCATTTGGCCTATATGAGGACCATGTCCAAAATCCTTTTGGAAAAATGTACTAGAGAGACAATCAAAAGTGAGATGAACTCCTCCTTGTACTGTCCACAAACTCAGTGGGAGGCAGGGGATGGGGGATGGGGCCTGGATGAGAAGACCTAATGAACTAGGAAGAAGAGACAATATGGAAAGAAACCTCACTTAAACTTAGCCTCAATAAGAGTTACAGCTCTTAGAAATTGAATTGTAATGAAACTTGTCATCAAATTAAAAGATAAATTGCTCAGTCATTTCAGGTGTGTCCAACTCTTCATGACCCCATTTGGGGTTTTCTTGGCAAAGATACTTGAGTGGTTTGCCATTTCTTTCTCCAGCTGATTTTACAGATGAGCAAACTGAGGCAAACAGTATTAAGTGACTTGCCCAGGGTCACACAGCTAGTATGTTTCTTCAGGTCAGATTGGAACTCAGGATGATGAGTCTTTGTGACTCCAGGGCTGGCACTCTTCCTGCTGTGTCACTAGCTTCCTGTAAAAGATAGAAGTGAGTTTAAATGTGAAGTTACATCGCAGAAGAATTGGTCCTGTATCAGTCTAATTTTCCAACCAAGGCATAATGCTTTAAAGTGTTTAGTCATTTCCTTAAAAGAGAAAACTCTTTATTAATTTCTCCTGTCTGTCCTCTTTCCTCCACTCATTTTCAGTACTTCTTATTTTTCTCTCATTCTGTATTCTCTTTTTTCTTTTCTCTTATCTCCTTTCCCATTCACTATTGATTTTGTTCTCCTCTCTTCCTATTTCTCTTCTTTCTTTTCCTCTCTTCCTTTTTTCTCCTCTTCACTCTATTTATTGTTCATCTTCTTTCCTTCTCTTTTGCTTTTTTCTTATCTCCTCCTTCATCTTTTTTTCTCTTTACTTCTGCTCTCCACTTTCCTCTTTTCTCTTTCACCTGCCTCTTCCTTATTCTTCACTTTCTCTTTTTAATGCCTTTCTTTGATTATGCTTCCTTTATTCACCTTCATTTTCGCTCCATCACTTCAGTCAAGTATGTGCCCTTCAAGTCTATTAGTCCTGTCTTCACCCCATCACACAGCATGGGCACCACCAACCCCCTGCTAAATTTGATTCGAGTTACCTTCTTATCCCTCCCAGTCCTTCTATCATATGTCATGGAAAATCTAGAACCTTAGAGGTGTGTCACAGAATGAAAAAATTGGGAAACTCTGCTAAGCAACTCACCTAATAAGCCACAAGCTACCTGAAGAACGACTATAATTAAAAATGACTAACAGTATTATAGTAAACCTAGAAAATCCTTGTCAGGGCTCTATAACATTCTAAAAACACATGAAGATTTTCTAGTTATGGCCCTTTCCGAGTATTCCTGTTTTACCAAATGGAATCAGCATGGGTTTGAGAATATATAATATGCAGCTTTTATGTGTTTGTTAATGAGACTAGATATTTCATGAACTTAATTATTCATATTGCATTATGTTTAGTCAGGTTAAAATAATTGGAAGCAGAAAAAAGGCAAGAGAAATAAAGCTTTGAAACTAGAGTTAGGGAAGACCCGGTAACAGTGATCCAGAGAAGAACACTTGGATCTCCTTTCACAATGAAGCAAAGTGATGTTGCAGTTGCATTGATTCTTAAAAGAGAGGTGCAAGAAAAGAGGTCATAAAAGAAACAATTGATAACAAAATCACAGTGTTTCAGTCTTATCCTCTTTTGTCATTTAATTTTATGAGCAAAATGACCTATCAGAGATGTGTGCAATTAGGAAAATAATAATAGCTTCACCTTTGTTTTATGGGAGATTGGTCACATTCCATGGACATATAAGTATCAAGGGAGAAAGAATTTGTTCCATAGATGGGAAATACATTAACATCATATGAAGAGCTGATAATTTAGTGTTATTACTTAGCCTAAAAGCTAATTTATATTCCACTTAGGAGGAAGTTATATTAACTGTTTTAAATTTTATGTTAGATCAGAATAACCTTCATACTTCTAATGCTAATAAAGTGATAGATTTTATTATCAGTCTTAATGCAACTACTTCTGGATCTCCTTTTGAGAAATCTGTAGTCATTTCACAAGTAGAAATGAATTTGATATTTATTTCTAATACCACTTGTTTTTGGTAAGAAACAATTCTCTAGCTTGGCACATTCATAGATTCTTGTTTTAGGCAAGCACAAAATGCTTTTGGTTTAGTTGTCATTTTAGTCAGTTTGTTATGGTTCTTAATTTGAGCAGTATCTGCCCATAGTTGTCATCCAAGCACAACTGGGAGATACTCTTCCTTCCCCTCCTCCAATATGGAATTCTCCCCCCCCCCCCGCCCGCCCAACCCCCCCCAAAAGAGTGTTAAAGAAATAGATTAAAAATGGCTATTTGTTTATGTTACAATGAGCAAACCAGTAGTTAATTAGCAACAGTGAAAGCTGAAGGTTAATTAACATTATAATTCTAAGTTTTACGTATATTTTATATTTTAAATACTGACATTTTAATCTTAACATTTTATTAATCTTAAAAATGTTTTAAGTGACAAAGAAAGGAATACATTTTATTTTCACTCATTTTGAAAACCAATTATCCTTCATTACCAGAAATTCAAATGTGCCTATCTAATACTTTCCAATTGGGCTGTGTTCTTCAATGTATTCAATAAAATCAATCAAGAAAACTGGCCATAAAGCTGTAACCCTTGTTGTTTGAAAAATCTATAGGATGAGATAGAATTATCTCTTTAGGATAGAGGTCATAATAGTTAAACAAGCATTTTTTAAGCTCCTGGCCTGTGCTAGGCGCTTTGGATAAAGAGGCAAAAAATAAAATATTATGAATGCAAAGGGCTTTACAAATCTTAAATTGCTATGCAAATATAAGTTTGAAAAAAGTCATAACTAATTTATCTTAGCTCAAATTTTATTCCCAACTAGCCAGACTATAATTGAGTTCTAATTAGCATCAATGCTGATTAAAATCTGCCCTTGGATTTTGCTGAAAGCTGTAATGTAAGTCATTTACCTAACAAATTAGAATTTTCTGAGGGTAACATTTGTCCTCCTTCAAAGGTATACAGATTTACAGATGCATGTTTTGTTTATATAAGACATTTTTTACTAAATTTCAACATTGATTCCAACTTTCTCAGAAAGTAACTTTTTTTTTTTTGCTTTTTGGTGAGGTAGACAGGCTTAGGTGACTTGCCCAGGGTCATGCAGCTAATAAGTGTCAAGTGTCTGAGACTGGATTTGAACTCAGGTCCTCCTGACTCCAGGGTCAGAGCTTTATCCACTGCGCCACCTAGCGGCCCCAGAAAGTAACTTCTTTTGAGAAGAAAGCAGAGAGAGGATTGGGAAAATGTCTTTAAAACTGTCTTCTAGGGACAATCTATTAACTCTGTGGAGATTTGCAGTAAGTATGAACTGATCCATGCAGCCAGCCTATAAAGATTTTCCTTCAGTGTAACTAAGTACAGAACAGCATCTCTGACACAATTCAGCCCCTCTTTCATATTATGCTGTGTGTATAGCTAGGTACATGGGGCAGCTAGGGCAGCTAGGAGGCGCAGTGGCTGGAATGCTGGACCTGGAGTAAGACTTAACTTCCTGAGTTCCAATCTGTCCTCAGACACTTCCTAGTCTATTAGACCTTAGACAAGTCACTCAACCCTGTTTGCCTCAGTTTCCACTGTCTGTAAAATGACCTGGGGAAAGAAATGGCAGACCACTCCAGTATCTTTGCCAAGAAAACCCCTAATGGGTTCACGAAGAGTTAGACACAACTGAATAGGATTGAACATCATCATCATCACATGCAGAGGAGAGATGAGCCTGCAGAGGTCCCACTGTACAGGCTATGTAACAGAACAGTCTGCATTCACTAGAAATCCTGATATCCTGCGGTTCCATACCTGGAGTTGAACTAAATACTGTTTTGTGATTGCCCATCCCTAGGCTATTATATGATTCACCAAAGGTTTGTTTAGGAAGAGTTATGTATATGATTTAAAAAAAACAAACAAACTTGGACTGAAACAAGAACCTCTTATTATTTTTAAAGCACAACCAGTATGTTTACAATCCGTGTTTATTTTACTCTATTTTTTCCTTCACTTCTCTCTGGCCCCTTTGGGGAACAGGTGGCTTAATGAACTCATGGAAACGGCGCTGGTGTGTCCTCAAGGACGAGACCTTTTTGTGGTTCCGTTCTAAGCAGGAGGCCCTTAAACAAGGCTGGCTGCACAAAAAAGGTGGTGGGTCATCCACGCTCTCCAGGAGGAATTGGAAGAAGCGATGGTTTGTTCTCCGGCAGGCTAAACTGATGTACTTTGAAAATGACAGCGAGGAGAAGTTAAAGGGCACAATTGAAGTCCGGACGGCCAAGTATGTGATAGAACCTAGTTTTTTCACGAACCATTGCTAAATTATGTACGCCATTATTAATATGAGAACAATCTTTCATGTTTTTTAATAAGTTCTTAGCCATTTGTACATGGTGGGCATCAAGTAACGAGTAATGACAATAGCATTCTGTGACACACATGGATTCTGACTTCTAATATTCTTCTAAGGCTTATAAAATTCCCATGGAAACTTGGGCATGATTTTTTAAACTGAATTTATTGCAGTGGACTAGGTCTTTATTTAAAGACCCCTGCTGTTCTTATTAGCAGATTATACTTCCTTGGGTAGCCATGGAAAGAAGATATCATCTGTGAATAACTATATTTAATAGGCTTTTTGTAGTCACAATTAGTCATTTGGCTCTCATTTAAAAGACAAAGGCTAGCCATTTGGACTCGTAATTAGCCAATTGGAAGCACAATTAGTTGTACTCAGAAATAATGGCGTGAATAAGTGGAACAGTTAGTCAAGGTTCCTTTTAACAATTTCACCCTTCAGCATATCACTTTCAGAGTCTCCTGACTGCCAAGAGCCAGGCTGCTAATTGCTAAATTGAGGGGGAGCTTGACAACCTGGAGATGTTTTCAGATTAAAGCCCATTTCTTCCTCTGCTTCCCCTGTGAGATCAGAGTTGTCCTTTGACTCCCTCACCGCCTTGTTCTGTCACCTTCTCTTTCTCCCTGAAGGGGAGAAATGGAGCCCCTGTCTCTACCACAAAGGATGCTTCCCAAGAAAAAGTTTTACAGATGGAGGCAAAATTTTCCTTTAGCAGAATTATTTAGTAAGTACAAGTTTTCTTCGGAGTAGGTTGCCTGAGGTATAGCAAGGTTCAGCCTGCTTTAAAAAAATGTCTCTTTCAGCATTCCTTGGTATCTGAGAGTCCCACTGTTAAAGTTACTCCTTTAGATAAAGTCATTGCTTCCAGAAAGTCCTTATTGAAATAATACCTAGGCAGAGTAACCAGTATCTATTAACTCATCAGTTTTTTGTTTTTTTTAATCTCGATCTTATTATTTAGCCATTTGTCAAATAGAGAGCTGGGTCCTAAGGAATGAGGTACAGAAAAGCTAAGTGTTTCAGCAGAGGTCAAGCAGGGCTAGAAAAGAATCTCTCTACTTGAGGGGAACCAAAGTAACCAAGGGAGTAGTCACTGGAAGGAGAGATGGAAAGAAAACAGAGACAGTTTTTACCAACTTCCCAGTTTTGCTCAAGACCTGCCTGTGACTGATTTTGTTTCCTGGACCACCAGAATGGTCTTTCATTGTCCCAGTTCTACCCTGAAGTAGAGTGGCATTGTAGCTAGAGGGCTCAGTTTGGAGCAAAATCCAAGCTTGAATCCTGTGTCAGACACTTACTAGCTTTGTGATCTTGGGCAAGTCACTAACTTTCCTCAGGCTCAGTTGACCCATCTGTAAAATGATAATAATAGACCAGACCTCACAGGGTTGTTATATGATCTCATTTGATCTTTACATGTAAAGCATTTTATAAGCCTTAAAGTGCTATAGTGTTAACTCCGTTATTACTATCACTGTTACCACCACTACCCCTTTTATAACCTCTTGCTAAGGTGTATGCCTTTATTAAGCATGGAGTAGTATTGTGTTCTTTGGTAAGGAGTCTTTTTAAGACAGTATGAAAAATTTTGCTGCTTTATCATAGCCCCAAATCCTCAACACCAACAACACCTACATCTTCCATAGGAGCAGAGTGGGATTTTATGTCTTTTATTATTAGAAGTATTAGAAGCAAATCAGTACCTGAAAATTATCATTGTATATAGCATAGAGTTGTGAATTAGTCATTTTTACTTCTAAGACATCAGAAACAAACATGACTTAAATATAAAGTCTCCCTTGAAATTATCACTTCCAACTCATTTCCTAGATTACTTTTTATTAAATATTATTAAGATTGCAGTGCTCCTGGTTTAAAATCAATTACATTTTTCATTTCAGAGAGATCATAGATAACACCAGCAAAGAGAATGGAATAGACATTATTATGGCCGACAGAGTATTCCATCTGATTGCTGAATCCCCAGAAGATGCCAGGTGAGAGTATGAATTATTGCTTTGTATCTATGAAATCCCTGTTTATTTGGAATCTTTGGTATCATATAGATTAGTTTTTCTAATGGTCACATAAAAGTGTTTAGTTGAGTCAATATTTAACTGGACTTAAGGAAAATGAATACTTGAGACAAAAGACCGGAATTTTCATGTCTGGGAAAACTGTTGGTGGGCAGAAAATCGATCTCTACCCACGCTGTATCTTGGTATAGAGTCAGGGGGCAGCTTTGATTTGCTTCCAAATGGGGAAGATAAGGATTACTGTAAAAGGACATTTAATTTACACAGTACATATCAATTATGATAAATATGGGGAATTTTAACATCTTATTTTCATGTTAATGGAGCAGTATAGAAAAGATGAAAAAGTGGGGTGTTGTTTGTGGTATAATACAAGGACCACCGTAGTAGAAATCTTCCCACATAGACTTTTAGTGTAGGCACTTTTGAAAAGCAGAAGTCTAAGCTCCACCACTGACCAACTTAGCATATGCCCTGGAGTCCATGAACTTGGTTTTTTCCTTATTTTTTATGATTGTATTTCAACATAATTGGTTTCCTCAGTAATACAGTGTCTTTTATTTTGTGCATTTTAAAACTTTCTGAGTTAGGGGTCGATAGGCTTGACCAGACTGACAAAGGGGTGACGTCCTGAAAGACTTCAATTCTTCATCTGCCTTTTCCTACTTAATAATCTCTATGAAGCAAGATAATCTCTACGAAAGAGCTTTGAACATTTCAAAATGAATGCTTTCTAAAAACAAAAGAATAAGGCAGTGTGATTGCTGCTATTTAGAAGTGTCCTGTCCTTTCATGCTGTTTCTGAGTTGCATTCAAAACAAGTATGGTCCCGGATAGTAAAGATCCAAAAATGTTGTGCTTGTAATTCCTAAATATAACATTCCTGGCCTACATTTTTTTCTCCCTTTTATTTGAAAATGATTTCAGTAAGTGTGACAAGTTCTCAGGGCCTCACCCTACCGCTTGCCCTTTTAAAAAATCTTGAGTTGACATAGCACCATGGCAGCAGCAGTAAGGGGAAAGACAGCAGGGGAAAAAAAAAATCTTCCCATGGGAATAGACTCTAACTTCAGTTAGATCCATAAATTATACATAAAATAGAAAAGCAAACAAACTTGGAATTATGGTCCTGTAATTCCATTTCATGGCCCTGGAGACTGCATGTGGTTTCTTGTGGATAACAAAAATGACCACAACTTCTCAGTGGAATTATAGCCCCTACCCTTGGCAGCTCTCCCTTGTTTGCTTTGTACCATATTGAATCAGCTAAATTTAACCTTGTGGATATTTCATCCAAGTGCTTCCTTTCTTCCACTGACCAGTGCATAGAATAGTTGTTGTTCAGCACTTTTTAAGTTCCAAATTATATTTGATTAGGAGGAAGAAATGTGGGTAATTTGAACAGTGTCTTGTCTGAAGACTATGAAATAACAATACATTCCCTTGTCATCTCAAATATTTGAAAATATTCATCTAGTTGCTTAAAACTGAAATGTATATATGCTTTCCTACATACATATAGAAGCATTTGGAGTGTTGCAAATCAGTTATTTGGAAATTCTGCCTCTCGGTTAGCTCAGGAATTCATTGAGCTATTTATTATTAAGAGCATATGTCTTTTGAGACTTTATGCTCCTAGTAATGTAGCTTTCCTTTAGGAAATATCAATAAAGATGCTTACATTTTATCCCTTTGTGTGTGTATGTAGCTAGTATTTATCATTTATTTACATATTGTTGATATTTTTACATACATAGATGAATTTATCTCCCAGGAAGAAATATAATACTCCCTTAAACTCTTTTAGCTCTAACTGCCTGGATCATTTGGGTGGCACTGCCCATTTGCTGGCTTGTTTTGTCATGTCTTCTTATTTTGCCCTTCTTGCTCCACAAAACAAACAAACAAATAAATAAATAAATAATTGAACTAGATAATGCTTTGGAAGAGGGTTCCTGACTTCACATCCATTGTTTTAGTTTGTTTTTAATATACTGACACCTTTTGTTTTGACACAACAGATAGTTCCCACCACCTTTAATCACCCTACAGCCTCTTGCCTAATGCACAAACTAATTGTAAGGCACTCAAAAATTATTATTCACTTAGTTCAGATGCTTTTTCCTTTTCTGCTGTACTATATAAAAGGGCAGAAGGAAAGGCTTATGCTCCTTTTATCTTTTGCTTTTGATAACAATTTAAGTAGAAAAACATTTTAAAACTGAACCTGGTCTAAGGAACTTTGGTGTTATAACATGATAAGAGAGATGTGCTCTCTGACTAACTCAGTAACTTTAGATTTCTAGTTCTATTATGGAAATGTAATTTGACTCAACTAGAAACATGTCATATGACAGTAACTCATGGCCTGGGAGTGTGAGTGACACAATTTTGCCTAAATAGTTATCCTGAGGTATTATTTCTGATCATTTAAAACATGCTCAGCTTCCCCATTCCTTCCTTATATATTACACAAATATTTATTAATGTTACCAGTTCCTTTTTATACTCATTTTCAAAGAAAACAATTCAATGAATGTATTTGATAAAAAAAATTTTCAGTAGAGTGACTAACAGATGTTTTACTAAGTTTACTAATTCTGTAGGATTATGATTTTTTTTTTTCTATAAGTGTATTTTGTGGTATATTGAATAATTACTTGTGGGCAGAATGGTGAGTGGGTTGCAGGGTGAGTCTCTTAGCCTCCTGCAGTTGTTGGGGGCTATTGGGGGCCTAAAAGCAATTGATTACTATATTTTTAACTGTTCCTGAACAAGCCAAAAAATATAAGTTGCCACTTGGGATTTTCTGTGTAACATAACCAAGTGGAAATCAGAGGCCCCTTCCAAAAGGTTGCTTCTCGGTCAGCCTTTTTTATAAATTCAGAGTTTGACCTTTCTTTTAAAAAATGACACCCACTCTTTCCTTCTTACAGTCACTGGTTCAGTGTGCTGAGTCAAGTCCATGCATCCACAGACCAGGAGATTCGGGAAATGCATGATGAGCAAGCAAATCCACAAAATGCAGTGGTGAGTGAAAGCTTTACTTAGCAACTAATATAGGTTGAGGAAAGTAAGAGTACTAAGGTAAACAGAGAGAAAATAAAAGAAAACAAGAATAGTATCTTTTTTTTTTTGGCAATTGCCCAGGGTCACACAGCTAATAAGTGTCAAGTGTTTGGTCTGAGGATGGATTTAAACTCAGGTCCTCCTGACTTCAGGGCCGGTGCTCTGTCCACAGCACCACCTAGCTGCCCCAAGAATAGTATATTTTATTTAACGAGTATGGAAGGCTAACAACATGACACCAAGATGGTAAAATTGCTTTTTTATTATTATCTTTAACGATGGACCTGTAATTTTAGCAGGTAATAAGTAGAACTGATGACCAGAAAATCATGCAAAAAGAGAAAAAGACAGAATGAACTAGGAAAACATATGACAAATTTTTTTTCAAAGAGGCTGGACTTATGACTTATCCCTATGCCTGAAATCCGTGCTAACCCCATTAGCCATTATTTTTGGCTGTTCATGAAGGAGGCATCCAATTTAAACTAATCAGAAAGTTCCCCTTCGAGACCATGGTTAGATTGCAAGGATGAGCTTCTAAAAGTTTCAGAATTTCTTTCCCTGGGAAAGAGGACTTTCACTCTGGCTTTAGTACTGAACAGAGGTTATGGCTGATTTATGAAGATGGAAATGCCTCTTGAATGGGAGGTCTTTTTATTTTTCAGTTAACAAAGGATAAAGGGGACTCTTTCTAAACTTTTTGCTAAGATCCATTTAATTTCAAATATACAAACTACTCTGTGTAGGTACTTCAATATTTTCCTGACTACTTTCCTCTCTCATACTCCCTTTGTAGGGCACTTTGGACGTGGGATTAATTGATTCTGTGTGTGCTTCTGACAACCCAGATAGGTAATTTCAACTATTACTTTTTTTTAATCTTATTTTCATATCTTAATAAACTTTAATATATAGTTTCCTTTTTCTTATCTTAGTTTCTTCTGTATATGACCAGTTTTTCTTCTCAATGATGAGATAATATCAAGGTCAGCATGCAGTATATGTGACTTGCTTGAAAACAAAAGGATCTAAAGAGTAATTTCATGGAGTCCAGAACAATAATGGGCTGCACTTCTTTTCAATTTCCAAGTTTGCAAAACATGTTCCGCACAATAACCTTGTGAGATCTATAGCATAAGTATTTTTATCTCAATTCTGTAGGTGAGGAAACTGAGGTTCAAAGATGCTCTGGTTTGTCCATTGTCACATTGAGCTGGGACCCAGAACTTAGACTTTCTGCCTCCAAGCCACTGCTCTGCCCATTGCCTCCTTTCTTGTATCATTAGGCAATAATGTTCTGTAGTTCATAGGAAAACAGTAGGGAAGGAGCAATTAACTTTTTAGAGATTTTCAATATAGTACAAGCAAAATAATCTCCATTTGGGCATGAGTAAAATTAAAATTGGATTTATGAATCACTGAAAACCACTATGGAAGAAATACTGCTTTAAATTTCCCTAACCCACCTTTCCATCCACCCTGGCCTTAAATAGTAAGTTTTTTAAAACTTTTTACAAACAAATAATGAAGTTTATATAAAGTAGGACATTAGCCTCTATATTCTTCTAGTCCCCTTAAAGGAAAATATATTCTTTGGAATATATAACATTCTTTGTGTAATTGGAATCAACTCTGAAGTGCTCTTCAGAGGAGATAATTTTGTAGGTTTTTACATTATGGTCATATTTTTTTCCTACTTCTTACAAATTTTTTTTTAGGGCACATAGATAAAATTTCAGGAAATAAAACAATTAAATAAAATAAGATGAAATGAAGTTATTTTTTTAAGAACATATCCTTAGGAAAATAAATTGGAATTTATTTCATAATTTATTACCAACCAAGATATTTTTAGAGGGATTTAGGAATTACATTGGAATGCCCTTTTTGAGGAGTGAGGACTGTCAACCTGGCAACCTCCAATACGTGGGCTTCCTTTCCCTATCCAGCCATATCTCCCACTCACATCTCCCCAGTAAAATCCTAATTCCCAGGCCACGCATCTCACATTTTTCTTAACAGTTTTGTACATTTGCTCATTGTGGGATGTTGCCCTGCTCCTGTCTATTTTTATCTGTCCTCAGGTCACATTCAGGATAGGGAGCTCAGGGGTGAAGAAACTCCCTCTACCAGTGAAGATAGATACCTTCTCGGCACCTTATTCCCTTAGAATGTTGTCTCGAGCTCTGAGAAATTGACTTGCTCAGTCACCTAGCCAGTATGTGTCTCGAACACAGGACTTGAGCCCAGGTCTTCCTGGCTTTGAGTTCTAATCTATTCTCTACACCACACTGAATTTCAAGTCAAATTCAGTCAGCATTTATTAAGCATATTAAGTTATATTCTGAGCATAGTGCTTAACACTGGGGAGATACTAAGATGAAATAATGGATTATATAAGGTAATGGAGTATATTAAGGATATATACAACACAGCATCTCATTTTCTACCTCTTTAAACACTAATATCTTTCAAGCAATAACATTTTTCTTCCCGAAAATATGTAAACCACTTGAATCCAGACTCATTTGCTGGCATAACAAACAGATTCTGAGCCTGTCAGGAGTAATGCAGGCCTATAAGAGTCAAAATATTCCAGAACAGAAAAGGACAAGAGAAACAGACAGTCTCTCACTGTGTCCTCTCTTCCTGGCCCTCATCCCAGTACTAACATGAAATATACCTGGCAGAATGCTTTGAAAAGATACCAAGACATTTCACTTTCTTAACTTCTTCCTGTTATACTTATATCAGTGGTACTTACCTGTTGTTAATTACTAATCCACGATAATGTAACCCAATAGAGGCAGAGAAAAAGTTGACTTTGGAAAATTGTCATTTCCCCCCCAAAAGTCACTTTATTTAGCTTTCCCAGAACTAACCAGGCTTTCATTTGGAAAATTTTGCATTAAAAAATGTTTTCTCTTCCCAGAACCTTCAGAAGGTGTTGCTCCAAGTGTAAAGGTTAATCAAGCTTAAAATAAATGCTCCAAAAGTGAGCAGTGTTTCCTTTAATATAAAATATAAATAGCACAGTAATGTTTATACCTATGATTAGTAAGCCAGGAAAGAGTCAGTTCAGTTATGGTTCAAACAAAGGTTATGTTGACAGTTGAGCTAATAGATTTTTCCACTTTCTCTTCCCTGCGCACAGGCCTAATTCATTTGTGATCATCACTGCTAATCGAGTCCTTCACTGCAATGCTGACACACCCGAGGAGATGCACCACTGGATAACGCTGCTGCAGAGGTCAAAAGGAGATACCCGGGTCGAGGGGCAAGAATTTATCGTGAGAGGTAATGATCGTGGATTGCAATGATATTTCCCAAAGCACCATGTGCGTTGTAAGAGTATTCTTTGATAATGTTTTGATGAGACACTGTTTAAAAGCTAATTTGACACTCATTTTATCATGTCTTTTAAAAGTCAGCTACCTTATTAACAAAAGAAAGTGCAAAAGTAATTTTAAGCCATAAAATAGGAATGTGTCCATATGTGTGAATATCACTTTACTTGTACTTAGTATGTTTTGCATGATTGTAAAGGCCTTTAATTCTCACCATATAAATAATTTTTTCTCCCAAGGATGGTTACACAAGGAGGTGAAAAACAGCCCCAAGGTATCTTCTCTCAAGCTAAAGAAGCGTTGGTTTGTTCTAACACACAACTCCTTGGATTATTACAAAAGCTCAGAGAAAAATGCTCTGAAACTGGGCACCCTCGTCCTGAATAGCCTCTGTTCTGTTGTCCCACCTGATGAAAAAATATTCAAAGAAACAGGTAACTGGTTCATTTACATTTTGACCTCTCATTAAAACTATCATGGGATAATGTTTCTGTTCTCAAACGGCTCTGCTCAGTCTAATCTTTCTCTCCAGAAGTTTCTTTACTGCCCTGTGTCTCTGTGGGTTTGACTGTCAATAAGATTCAAAATATATGTATATAAATTAAGTTTGAAATAAGTAAGATTTTTTGATTTGTCCAAGTTGTGGGAAAGTTCACATGAAGTTCACATAAGGGCAGGAAAAGGAGTAAATGAGGTTTTTCTGAGATTTGGAAATTCTAAACATTCCTCATAAACATCAATTATAATTTTATACCTATTAATGGTATATGCCACTAGATGTAGCTAAGATTCAATTAATTTTAAGTTAGCAGATTGATGTAAAGATTGTGTGCTGTTTTGAAGCAAATCTGGGCAGTTTTTCTTTAGGTATACCATGCCTGGTAGGATGGGGCACTGTGTACACTTTTACATCCAGTTTCTTGATGTTATATTATGTAAGGAATACATTGAGTTTCGTACATTGCCATGACCAGAGAATAATTATTTAATTATAAAATTGTGGTTAAGTCTTTTTTCCCACTAAAGAACAAAGGGTACAGCAGTGTTGCCTCTCTTCAGGAATCAGTCGGTTGTATATGCTCTGGTTTTTAGTGGGAGGAGGAATAATTGGCATGGCACAGTTTGCAGATTATCATCTCTATTCGTGTGTTTACTCTTTCATCTTTATTAAAAATGTATAGCATTATTATAATCAGTGGCACATGCAGCATGAAGCAAACACAGTCCTGTCAGTGAGATTAATCTAATAGAAAAGCAAGATGCATAGGTGTATCCAGAAAAAACCTTTTCTGTTTTTAGTAGATTGGGTTTGGGGAAGCAGGTTGGTTAGGTTGGTACCCTTTCTTGTTTTGTTTATTTTTAATTTTGGTGATCATCTTTTTTCTTTTTCGTTCTTTTTGTCTTAGAATTCATCAGAGTACAGTTTGAAGGAGGGTGGGAAGGGAAAAGAAAGAAAAAGACTTAAGCAGCATCCATACGTACAAACTTGCCTGGCATATTTATTTATTAAAATGGGTCTAAGGGAAAGGAATGAGAAATTGGAGGAAAAGTTCATTGCCCACTTGTAAACTACCTAAGGGAAGAACTGTCAGAGTGGTACCAAGAGCGTAGACCTCAATTTTAGAGGGAGGAGTAGGGCCCTTAATCACATTTGTGGGGATGGTTTTTCCAAAAAAGTATTAACTCAAGGCAGACTCCTTGGTTCAAAGAGGTTTGAAATTTTGTGTTCACTGATACTTCAGGGTACTGGAATGTCACTGTATATGGACGAAAGCATTGTTACCGACTCTACACTAAATTGCTCAACGAGGCCACCCGGTGGTCAAGTGCCATACAGAATGTGACGGAGACCAAAGCTCCGATTGACACTCCTACCCAGCAGCTGATCCAGGATATCAAGGTAAAATTACCACACTGCAGGATTTTTGTTTATGTTCTGATCTTATTCAGTGGCTTAAAGGCTCCAGAACTATACTTGGTGCTCAGTTACTAATCTTCAATTAGAAACATTGAAATGGATGGATTGATTAATTAAAGAAGAAAATGAAATTACTTTTTATCTGAATTTCCATTTTTCAACCAAGAGTCTTTAGACAAAATAGACTATAAACAGACTTTAGTTGGCATACTTTGGAGATTTGAACATTGTCACTCTGGCTGAACTAGCCTTTGATATCATAGAGATACCAGAATAGGAGATCATCTGCCGGGCACATCTTCTATAACAGGGTGTGAGATTTTCCATTGTTGTTCTGTAGGTACTGAATCTCTGGACTTCTCAAGGATAGAAGTCCACGTCGGGTGATTGGAAAGCCTTTTGTTTTCAGTTGCTCATCAGTGACAGTTGTGTTCTGAAGTATTGGCCCTGGGTTATAAACCACTACTGGTATTTCTTCCAATTCAATCCAGAACCCTTTGGTCCATGGGCAGTTACTTAAAACTTGCAAGAGTCCCTCTGTACCTCTGGGACCTATGAGGCCAGAAGCCAATTTTCATAGCTTTGTTGAGCCAAGTCATTCTTACAAAAGCCTAAAGTTTTTGTGAGATCAAAAGGACGAAAGCAGTACTAGCCATGTTTCCCAGATGTAGAAATTCAGCTACAGAAGGAAGGTGTAACATTATTTGCTAATCCATTTCTAAACTGAATCTGAGCATTAATTACATTTCTTTGCTTTTAATAACAAGCTCTTTCATTGTCTGTCTTGAAATGGGGAAATATTAAAAGGAAGACGTGAAAATGATAGTGAATAAACACAACTTTGTGGCATAATTGCTTGGTAATAGCAAAATAAAAAGGATGTACTAGGGGCTTAACAAAAATCTAGTGAAATTTTACCTTTGGGGCTAGACCCTGTATCGGCTCCTGAATCAACCCATTCGTTCCAGTGGACCTAAAGAGGGCTAATTAGAAGAATTTTCTACTATATTCATATTTCACTTTCTTGTGGACCAGCTCTAAAGTAATAAAATGTTCCAAGGGCTTTTATGGACAAACTGCCAGGAATTTTGGAAACATTCTGTGAAACTTTGTAGAGTTATCTACGTACTAGGATTCCTGTGGTTAGAACTTATGATTTGCAAATGTCAATGGCAGTCTTCATTGTTTTTGAAGGTCTTTGACAAAGCAATGAAAGTCAAATGATCTATTGAATTTAATTTTAAATATTGATCCCCATTTATCCTTTTTCTTCAATAAACTTAGATTTATAAAGAAATTAAATAAAAAATTTCAAATCTGAAATAATTTAAGAATCAATGATGATTTTCATTCCATTTTACATTTTTTGATAAAAGAAATAATATTTGACAAAGAACACTAATAGAAAAGAATCCTAAAAACATTAGAAAGACTGTGATGGAGTGATTTATTGGATTTTCTCCACTTTTTAAAACTGAAGCAGTAAAAATAATTGGATTTCCATTACTCCAAGGACAGTGTATTGTAGCAGCATAAATACATGGTGAAAGTACTTATGTAATGGTCTGCTGGCATATTTTTATACTTTAAAAGGAAGGAAAGTAAGTAATGCATTAATGTGAAAGAGTATTTGAAGTAGGATTCAATTTTTAGTTGCTTGAGAACTATATTTTTGTTAAATCTTTTTATTGATGGTTTGAGAGAATGTCCAATAAAAAATTAAGGAGCAAGGGGGGAATTATTTGAAGAAAGAAGTTGTGCATTTTTTTAAAGTGTTAATTTGATTAAATGGTTACCTACCAAATAATTTCTAAGTATATCATTCCACTTTTTTTTTTAAAAGGATACAGGTTTCCAAAAATGATGTTAGAAATGCTTTAAGGAAATATTTGCAAGTTAAAATTAAGGAAAATAGTTCTCTCAGAAAAACTTCATATTGAGAATTAGTTTTCTAAGGCAAATCATTTCTCTCTTTGTGCTTTTAAATGTCAATAATTTTTTAAGTCTGATTTTGTGACCAGAGACGTTCTAAGCTATGAATAAATCCTCTTTAAAAAAAAAAAAACAGTCCCATTCATTGTATTCTTTAGTGTACTTCTTTGTAATAAAATGCAAATAATTTTTATAATTAATTTTTTTAAAAATATTTTTAAGGAGAACTGCCTGAATTCTGATGTGGTAGAGCAAATTTACAAGAGAAACCCCATTCTGCGCTACACCCATCACCCATTGCACTCACCACTTCTGCCCTTGCCTTATGGAGACATAAATCTAAACTGTAAGTATAGACTTAAATATACACTGCTCAAAGACATTTTCTGTATATGTTTACCTCTGACTTAAAACACTTAATATGTGCCAGGCCCTGGGCTAAATCCTGGAGATACAACAAAGTAAAAACAATCCCTGCTATCATGGAGCTCACAGTCTAAAGGGGGGAGACTGTGGACAAATGAGAGATACACAGGATAAATTGGAAATGATGGACCGAGGGATTAAGCAAGGCTTTTGAGGGAAGGTGGGCTTTTAGCTGGGGCTTGAAGAAAGCAGGGAAACCACCAGGCACAAATGAGGGAGGAGAGCATTACAGGTCTGGAGAATTCCAGTGAAAACTCCCGTTGTTAGGAGATAGAGTACCTTGTTCAAGGATCAGCAAGGAGGACGGTTTTGATCATGAAAACTGGGAATATAAATTTAGATGCCTGGGCATCAGGATTGTTTATGATACTTCCTTTATTAGAAATTATGGTCATCCAAAAGAAACTAGAGCCAGATCTTAAATTGAGTATAATCTCATGGGGTCTTTAGATTCATGTGGTCCAGGGTTTGACAGCTTATTCAACTGCTGTGTTGTTCCAAATGTTTGAGAATAAGGCACAGTATTACAAGAAACATCTTTTTGTTGAACTGTCCAATCCACTCTTAAGTCATGACGTTTTTAGACTTCACTCATGTAGGTCCATACTTATTTCTAATATAATTTCTAATACAGAAAACACTCTGAAAGGAGAAGACAGGTTCACTTGTAAGGAGCAGCAGTGATACTGCCTTATGCTACATCCTTAGTCCTTCACAGAGATTGTCTCACTGGTTAACTGAGACAAGGTGGAGAAAGAACTGAGGTCTTTACTGGTGGGAGGAGTTCTTAACCTTTTTCGTGTCGTGGCTCCCATTGGTGGTTTGGTGAAGCCTATGGATCCCTCCTCAGACTAATGTTAGTAAATGCATAAAAGATAGAATTACAAAAGAAACAAGTTACATTGAAATACAATTATGAAAAATATTTTTTAAAAATAAGTTTATAAACCTCAGGTTAAGATTTCCAGTGTTAGACTACGGCACACTGAGAGCTGAAAGGACACACAAAAACTATTAAAAAAGAGATTGAAGATGTCAGTACAGAGCCAAACCCTAAATATAAGCCAATTCCTACTTGTGTGACCTAGGTTAAGTCATTTACCTTCCCTCGGCTTTAGTTTCCGTATTTGTAAGACGAAGGTGTTAAACTAAATGGCCTCTAAGATCCCTTCTGCCTCTCAATCTGTGATCCGATGACACTGTGAAAAATAAACAAATTTAGGTAAAGCTATGTGGTGCAGGGATTGGATACATAGTTTATTTTTAAATCTAATCCACAGGTTACTTATCTGCATCTTTAAGAGTTAAACCCACCTGAAAAACTTATTCTTATCATTTTTCCTAAAACAATAATTTAACCTGTATACTCAAGATCATGGATTTGGAGCTGGAAAGGACTTAAAAGGCCATCTAGTCTGATTCTCCCATTTTATAGATGAGGAAATTGAGTCTTAAAGAAAGTAAGTGTCTTGCCCAAAGTAACACAGGTAGTATTCACAGAGACAGGTTTTGAACCCTAGCACCAAGCTGTAAAATCAAACATACTTTTCACTGCAGCTTCCTTGCCTGTTCTTGTCACCTTCCAAATAATTTGTCAGCTGCTTAATTTATATATTCACCCAAACCTTTTAAAAAATTATTCCTATTTTTTGTTTTGTTTTCCTAGTGCTAAAAGACAAAGGCTATACAACTCTTCAGGATGAAGCTATCAAGATATTCAATTCTCTCCAGCAACTTGAATCCATGTCAGATCCTATCCCTATTATTCAAGGCATCCTTCAGACTGGACATGACCTTCGACCTCTCCGAGATGAGCTTTATTGCCAACTTATCAAACAGACCAACAAAGTGCCCCACCCAGGCAGTGTTGGGAATCTGTACAGCTGGCAGATTCTGACTTGCCTGAGCTGTACCTTCCTGCCCAGTCGTGGTATTCTTAAGTATCTCAAGTTCCATCTGAAAAGGTAAAGGCAGAAAAAGTCTTAATTTAGAATGGTTAGGGAGGAAAGGGGGAGTGTTATTATTAGATGCTTTTTCATTTTATCTCTGTGTTGCCCCATCCAAATAAGAGCTGAATGCAAGCATCATTTTCATTTATGCAGTAATTTATTCTAATTTAAAGAAATTGGAGGGACAGCTCGGTGGCACAGTGGATAGAGGACCAGCCCTGGAATCAGGAGGACCTAAGTTCAAATCTGGCCTCAGACACTTGACACTTACCAGCTGTGTGACCCTGGGCAAGTCACTTAATCCCATTGCCTAGCCAAAAAAAAAAAAAAAAGCAAAAAAAAAAGAAAGAAATGGAAAGCCCTGAAGAAGATGCCTAAGAGCCTTTGCGAGGCTCTGAGGTTCCTTGAATGAATGGGGGGGGGGGGGAAGACAAACCCACATTTATTAAGTATTTACTCTGTGCCAAACAATATGCTAAGTGCTTGGGATACAGTATGCCAAAAAAAAGAAAGAGGGCAGGTCCATCTCTCAAGGAGTTTACATTCTAATAAGAGAAAATAATTTATATAAGGGATGGGTGGCCAGGGGAGAGGTGTTTTGGATTGGGAAATCACAGAGATGATGAGTCAGACCCTAAGCAGTTGGAGGGAAGTATGGGTATTCTGGGCCCCAAGGTGAGAAGATGAAGATTGCAAAACAGTCTTAGAAATACTTGTGTAATTTTTATACTCACATCTGTCTTCAGGCAGCACATTGTATCAGTGAATGTAGCCTGTACTTAGACCACTTAATAAGAAAAATGAATTGGCATTTCATATTCTACAGAGAAAAATCTGATTTCATGTTTTTATTTACTTTATATTACTGTGGCTGAAGATTGTTTGGTTTTGTTTGGTTTTTTCCCCACAAGAGTGTTTGTGTTTGAATGAGAGCCTCAGGCATAAAAGGTGAGTGACAACAAAAAGTGTACTGCTTTAAACATTTGTTTCTTTTTTTCCCGTTTAAACTAAAATACACATAAAACGGGCATACGCCGCAAACAGTGACCAGCACCAGTAACATTAAGATTTTTCCTTAAAACTTGTGATTAAAGGCCAGTGTTTGTCTCCTAGGATACGAGAGCAGTTTCCAGGAACAGAAATGGAAAAGTATGCTGCCTTCGTTTATGAATCTCTTAAGAAAACCAAATGCAGAGAGTTTGTGCCTTCCCGGGATGAAATAGAAGCCCTGATTAATAGGCAGGAAATGACATCTACTGTTTATTGCCATGGTGGAGGGTCCTGCAAGATCACCATCAACTCTCACACTACAGCTGGAGAGGTGAGACGTTCTTCTGTCGGGTTTTCCCGTTTTACTGTGTTATTTTAACATGTGTAGGTCTAAAGTATTAAATTGTCACACATCCATAGAAGATACTCAGTTTAACAGATTTCGAAATGAGTTCCTGAAGTTAAGCACATGCAGACAAAAACAGAATATTTATTAGAGGTGAAGGAGGGAGAATACTATAAGGACAACATAGAAAGAATGTCTTTCTGAAATTCTTGGCAAAATATGTTCTCAAAATTAATCTGCCAAGTCAATAAGTAACTTAGAGAATTTGAATTACTGTAATCTCAAAGGAACCAGGTAGTACTGACAAATTATACAGTGTGACCCAGCTTCATTATATCATATCTTCATAGAAATGTAAATATTTGCTTGTCATCTCAGTGACCACAGCTACAGAATATGTGGGCTAGTGACTACATTTTCCACTTACTCTTAAAGTAAGCATGGAGCAATATAAAATCTAGAATGGTTTCCAACATACAGGAAATGTTCCACAAGGAACTTACTGAAGTCACTACTAATACTTCTTAAAGTTAATAAATTTAGCAAATACCAGACAGCCCTCCAGAGTCTCTCATTGAATTTATAATCTTCCTGACTCCGGGCCCAGTGTTCTATCCAGTCTGCTACCAGCTGCCTCAGAAGGGAGGGAGGAGAAAAGCAGGAAAAAAGGAAGGAGAGCAAGAAGAAGGAAGAATTTAAGTGCTTACTATGTGCTAAGCATTGGGAATACAAATTTAAAAGTAGGACAGTCCCATCCTTTAAGGAGCTTGCATTGTATATCAGGGAATATGGCTGGGGAGAAGAATTTTGGTTTAGAAAGTTACAGGGATGATGAAAAGAGCCAAAGTGGGATAGATTGATGCACTTTTTCCAGGATTTGGTTTGTTTGATTTGATTGTGGTTTCAGAACTTAGAAAGCAGGCGAGGTGTGGGGAGGGGGTATAAAATTCCTTCCGTTCCTCGGAAATGGAATATTCCTCAAAGTCAGTAAAAGAGTGAGAAAAGCAGTACTGAGATATAATCTCAAAAAATGACAGCAGGATATCTGTTCGAATCTAAGGCAAACGGCTCAGCGTTACGGTGATACAAGTCTGTGCTGCAACTGCTGATGCCAAAGAGACCAAAGTTGATCAGTTCTATGAAGACTTACAACATCTTCCAGAAATAACACCAAAAAAAGACATCGTATTCATCATAGAGGATTGGAATACTAAAGTAGGGAACCAAAAGGTAATTAGAATAACAGGCAAGTTTGGCTTGGGGAGTACACAATGAAACAGAGCAAAGAATAATAGAGCTTTGTAAAGATAACTCACTGGTCATAACAATTTTTTCAACAACCCAAAAGGTGAGTACACATGTACATTACCAGATGATCAATATAGAAATCAGACTGATTATTTACTTTGCAGCCAAAAGTGGAGAAGCTCTATAAGACCTGGAGTTCACTGTTGCTCATGAGCTTTTTATTGCAAAATTCAGACTTAAGTTGAAGAAAGTAGGGAAAACCATCAGACTGTATAGGTATGAGATAAATAACATCCCTTATGAATATGGAAGGGAAGTGAAAAAAAAAATTCCAAAGAAAAAGGAGAGCAAAGAAGCAAAATGTCTGTCTGATGAAGCTGTACAAGTAGCTGACGAAAGAAGGAAAGTGAAAAATGAAGGAGGAAGAGATATACTGAACTGAATACAGAATTCCAGAGAATAGCAAGGAGAAATAAGAAGGTTTCTTAAATGAGCAATATAAAGAAATAGAAGAAAACATAGAAATGGAAAGACAAGAGATCTCTTGAAGAAAATTAGAGATGTCAGGGAAACATTTTGTGCAAAAATAAATGATAAAAGTCAAAAATGGTAGGGACTTAGAAGTAGAAGCGATAAGAAGAGATGGCAAGAATACACAAAAGAACTATACGAGAAAGGTCTTAACATCACTGATAACCATGATGGTTTGGTTACTGATCTAGAGCCAGACATCCTGGAAAAAGAAGTCAAGTGGACCTAAGGAAGTATTTCTAACAATAAGGCTGTTGGAGGTGGTGGAATTCCAGCTGAGCTATTTAAAAAGCTAAATGATGATGCTATTGAAGTATTGCACTCAATAAGCCAGAAAATTTGGAAAACTCCGCAGTGGCCACTGGATTAGAAAAGATCAGTTTATATCTCAGTTTTAAAGAAGACCAATGCCAAAGAATGTCTAAGCTACCAAACAGTGCGCTAATTTCACATGCCAGCAAGATTATGCTTAAGACTTTACAAGCTAGGTTTCAGAGATATGTGAACTGAGAATTACCAGAAGAAGTAGGCTGGTTTTCAGAGAGGCAGAGGAACTAGAGACCAAATTGCCAACATTTGCTAGATTATGGAGATAGCAAGGGAGTTCCAGAAAAACATCTACTCTGCTTTGTTGACTACACTAAAGCTTTTGACTGTGTGGATCACAACAAAATGCGGCAAGTCCTCAAAGAGATGGGGATATCAGGTCATCTTACTTGTCTACTGAGGAACCTTGTATGTGGGTCAAGAAACAGCGATTAGAAACAAACATGGAACAACTGATTGGTTTAAGATAGGAAAAGGAGTACAACAAGGCTCTGTATTGTCACCTTATTTATTTAAACTTACATTCAGAATACATCATGCGAAATGCCAGGCTGGATGAATCAAAAGCTGGAATTAAGGTTGCCAGGTGAAATATCTCAGATGTGCAAAATATCCTACTGTGATGGCAGAAAGTGAAGAAGAATTAAGAAGCTTCTTGATAAGGGTGAAAGAGGAGAGTGTGAAAGCTGGCTTGAAGCTTAACATAAAAAAAACTAAGATCTTTGTGATCAGTCACATCACTTCTTACAATTAGAGGGAGAAGAAATGAAAGCACTGTCAGATTTTATGTTTCTAGGCTCAACGATCACTCCAGACAGCAACCACAGCCATGAAATTAAAAGATGCTTGCTCCTGGGAAAGAAGGCCATGGCAAATACAGACAGCATACTAAAAAGCAGAGATAAGACCTTGCTGACAAAGGTCCATTTAGTTAAAGCTGTACCAATGTATGGCTAGGAGAGCTGGACTATAAGGAAAGCTGAGCACCACATAATCAACCCTTTCAGACTGTGGTGCTGGGGAAGACTTTTGGGACCCTTGGACAGCAAGGAGATCAAATCAGTCAATATTTAAATTAGTTCAGACTATTCACTGGAAGGTCAAATACTGAAGCTTAAATACTTTGGCCACATAATGAGAAGACAGGGCTCATTGGAAAAGACCCTGATGTTGGGAAAAATTGAGGGAACAGAGGATGAGGTGAATAGATAGTGTCATGGAAACAATGAAGATGAACTTGGACAGACTCTGAGAGATAGTGGAAGATAGGAGAGCCTGGCATGCTAGTCCACAGAGTCACGAAGATTCAGACATAACTGAACAACTGAGCAACGACAAAAACATCCTCATTTCTGAAAATGCTCCTCTCCTCTCTCATATCCAGCAAAGATCCCTTATAACAAAAAATTAAAAGTGTCATTGCTTCTAAATTGAGGTACCAATTAATTTGAATTTCAGGTAAGATATGCTTATTACTATTTTATTTTTTTAAATAACAACTTAGAGACCTCAAAGACACTAACAAGTTGAATTTTTTTTGTTTCAGGTTGTTGAAAAATTAATTAGAGGTTTGGCCATGGAGGATAGCAGAAACATGTTTGCCCTATTTGAGTACAATGGGACTGCTGATAAAGCAATTGAAAGCAGAACTATAGTGGCTGATGTCTTAGCCAAGTTTGAAAAGTAAGTCTCCTTTAAAGTCCCACAATAACAATTCTAAAATGAACTAGCATGTATAGTAATCTATATTACCTTACTTTTTTTGATTTATTGTGTTTGTTAGTTGGTTGTATCCCATTTGCTTAGTCATTAAATAAAATACAGTGATACTTAGTAAATAGGAGGATAAGTATTGTGCTTTATTCTGAAAATACTGACATTTTTCTTAAGACATTATGACAACTCTTTTCTGCCTTCTTTATTTTTCTCTAATTAGCACGTCTTCCAATCTGTATCAACTCAGATTTTTTCCATATATTATCATATGAAGTTATTTTCCTAACCAAGAAATGCTGTTACCAACTTTCTTCATAAATAACACTGAAATCATACTTATTCTATCATTTAGTCAACTCTTATGATATACTTAAACATACTACAATATCAACTTTCTAAAGTACATATAAATCTATTAAATAGAGCAATATTAATAACCAACTACATTCCTTTAATATTTTATATGAAAGATCTGTAGGGGAAGAGTTGGGGGGGAGGGATTTGGTCTTATGAATTGGAATATATCCCAAATAGACAGTGTTATATCTCTTATAAGGGCTATCAGTAATAATGTAGTTGTAATTGACAGTTACCTATTTGATTCTATAAGTTAAGGACTGACTCTCTTAGAAGTTTTATCTAAAGCATTAAGCTTCATCTTGTGAAATTCAAGAATAATTAAGTCGGAAATTATACTGTCACTACCACAACCCGCAAAACAACTTGAGTGGGATACCCCAGAAGTAATTGTTTCATAGTCTTCTCTGGTTTATTTTATTTGGATATTAAATGTATAAACCGCTAACAGAAGTTCTGAAGAGTTCTTAACTTCATGTCCATGGATATGTTTTAGGGGATTTGTGAAAGTAAGTGGGGGGAAATTACGTATTTATTTCAATATGATTGGTTTCCTTTATAATACTATACATTATATTTTGTACATTTAAAAACATTCCAAAAAAGGTTATGAACCCTTGGCCTAGAATAAAATGAATAAAAATGAAACTTGAAAAATCAGCCTAGCAGTTTTCTAATAGAGATTGACTCATTCAAATACAAAGCAAATACACAGTTTAAAACTCAATAATCTGAACCCTGGGACTGTCTGAGACCTTCAGAACACCAGGCAACCTTGACTGTCTTTTTATTTAATCTTTCTGCCTGTTAATGCTACCTTTCCCTTGACTAACAATTGGAGATCTGTCCATAAGTGCTATGTGCAAGGCATCGCTTGGGCTTGGAAATACAAAGGACAAAAATGAAACAGTCCTTGGATTTAAAAGTAGTTATACTGTTCCTGCCTTTCTGGCTTCTAAAATGTTCATCTTCACCTGTATATCTCATTCTCCTTTGCCTGCCCCTTCCCCTCCACACATACTTCTCTCAGCACACTATTAAAATCCAGATGCTTCTCTTGATTCTTAAAAGTGGTTTTTTTTTATGTAATTATGTGATTTTTAGTTTTTCTGTATTAATTAGATTTGAAGCTATGCTTAATAGGCTAATACCTCGTCTCTGACCTAAGTTTTAGATATCCTCACCCATAGTATTTCAAATCAGACTTGTAACTTATCGTAAGTCTTTTCTTCAGAGCAAATGAACTCCATCTACTATCTAAATGCAAACACTCTGTTAAAGTACTGAGGCACATAATTAAGGTGTTCTGTTTTTTAAAGAAGCTGGAAAGGGAAAAAAAGGGAATGGAGAAGTAGGCTTAGTTACCTTGTTCTGTGTAATTGTTTCCTTTCCTGACTCAGTAGCTAACAGAGTGCTAATAAATATATAGTATATATTCAAGAAATACTTATTTAGAATTTTAGAAGTGTTTTATTTGAAAACTGATAACAGAACACAAAAGTTCTATTTTAACTTATATTAATTTAAATGTATGAGAAGGTAATGTCTGTAGTCTTACTAAGTAAGGAGTAGGAGAGGGAAGGGACTAAGCATTTATATAGTGCCTACTACATGCCAGCACTGTTGAGTACTTTACAGATATTATCTCATTTGATCCTCACAGCAACCCTGCAGGGTAGGTACTCTTAGGATCCCCATATTACATTTGAGGAAACTGAGGCAAACAGAGACTCACTCAGGGTCACACAGCTAGGAAGTGTCTGAGGCCAAATTGGAATGCAGGTTTCCCTAACTCCAGGCACAGTGATCTTCTCTACTGCACCATTTAGTTGTATGTGTGTGTATAAAATCTGTAATAATGTAGTTGTAATTGACAGTTACCTATTTGATTCTATTAATAGATACACATATGTATTGACATGATGTTACTATGATAAAATGCTAACCATATAAAGTTGATTTAAAAGTAAAGCAGTCAAATATTGATTGCAGAGAGCAACTAATGGAAAAGCTCCCCCGTAAAGCAGGGTTGGGGGTGAGGGTTTGAAGGGAGTGTTACAGATTCTGAACAGGCCAGGCATGAGCACAGTGTAGTAGGTTGCTATATCGGTTGGTTTTGCTGGACAATTTTTCTTTACAGAAGAGAATTCTGAGGAAAGTATAGCAGGGGATGATGTCCATGTAATAAATATAAAAATGTTAAGAAAATTTAAAAGTAAAGGAATCCTCTATTGACTATTATTTTGATCTCTAAAAGCATATTATGATTTGTACTTGCAGGCTCACCGCCACATCAGAGGTCGGCGACCTGCCCTGGAAGTTCTACTTCAAACTTTATTGCTTCTTAGACACAGATAATGTCCCAAAAGACAGTGTGGAATTTGCATTTATGTTTGAACAGGTAAAATATGTGGGGGTGGGGGTGGGGAGGGGTGTTAAAATAGTTTTCATCCCCTAGCAAAGAATGGGAAACCTTGCTAGTTTGTCATATAGAGGGATCGTTCTAATAAATTGTTGATCAATAAGTGAATAATGGAAGGGAATAAGCATTTATATAGTGCCTACAATGTGCCAGGCACTATGCTAAGCTCTTTACAAATAGTCTCATTTGATCCTCAAAACAACACTGTGATGTAAGTGCTGTTGTTATCTCCATTTTACAGTTGAGGAAGCTGAGGCACACAGGTTAAGTGACTTGCCAAGGTCACACTGCTAGGAAGTGTCTGAGGCTGGATTTGAACTCAGGTCTTCTTCAGGCCCAGTGCTGTGTTCCACTATGCCACCTAGTGGCTTAGCTGAATGAAAGAAAACATTCATTAAGTGCTTAGCACGTGTAAAGCACTATACTAACAACAAAGGATACAATTCAGAAGTGAGATGATCCCTGCCCTCAGGGAACTTACATTCTAATAGGAGAAGTCTACACTATAAGGGAGTTGTGTCCAGGGAGAGATGCTTTGGACAAGGCATTCGTAAAGGTGGTGAGTAAAGCCTTAGGATACTCGATTGACACACATTTCCAGTAGAAATGGTAGTATTAACTTCATTATAGTTCTAGAACTGAAAAGCTAGAGGAATGGAGGAATTACATGTTGACAGGATGGATGGCAAGATAGCTTCAGCCATCCTGAACATAGCGGGACATAAGAGGAGCTTACCAGTTAAAGCACCACAGTCCCCAGGGAGGGAATTCTGGGGGTGACAAAGTGACATTCTCTGGAGCAAGAAGATGGATAAAGTGAAAGATGTCTTAAATGTGTGCCACTGTTGAATATAGGGCCTCTTAAGTTGCTCTCTTACTTCTTTTAGGCTCATGAAGCAGTTATCCGAGGTCATTATCCAGCTCCTGAAGAAAACCTTCAAGTTCTTGCTGCCCTGAGGCTTCAGTACCTTCAGGGAGATTATACAATGCATACAGCTGTCCCAGCCTTAGAGGAAGTCTATCCTTTACAGAGACTGAAGTCTCGCATTACACAGTCAACTAAAACCTTCTCACCTTTGGAGAGGATAGAGAAGAGGCGCACTAGCTTTTTAGAAGGAACTCTAAGAAGAAGCTTCCGGACGGGGTCTGTCAACCGACAAAAGATTGAAGAAGAACAGATGTTGGATATGTGGATTAAAGAAGAAGTCTCATCTGCTCGAGCCAGTGTCATTGATAAATGGAAAAAATTACAGGGAATGAATCAGGAACAGGCCATGGCCAAATACATGGCCTTGATTAAAGAGTGGCCAGGATATGGGTCTACACTCTTTGATGTAGAGGTAAGGGGGCTGGGAGTGGGGAGACATGGTAGAACTCTAGATGCTGTGCAAGTAATACAGATCACTGAGAGCATCGGATAGGATCATGTACATCTAAGGACTTGAAACATGGTAAGAGTAATTCAAGGACAATAGAATAAATTTTAATAAAGGATGACACTTGAGTGGATTAAAAAAAGTGAGAGTTTGGGCTGCCACATACTTTAGTGAATCTGGATAAAAGCTTTTCTTCATTATTTAAAAAAAAAATTAGTTATTTCCAATAAATTCATGAAGAACGAGGGAAGAAATATTTACTAAAATAACATTTGATTTTTTTTCCCTTAGAAGTTTCAGGTAGTTTCAATATACTCAGACTGTTTAGAAACTGAACTGAACCCCACCTCTAAATGTTTCCACAAATTGTATATATGTATTTTATACTTCTTTTTCTTCTCATCAGCTTTGTTAATCCAATGGCATTCAATAGCTTATTAAAGTAAGTTATTTATAATTAAAATATCTTAATGACATCCTAGATCATCTGGTTTATCATCAGAGTAAATCAGTGTGTTATCTAATTACCTCTTATCCCGTGTAAGACTATTAGGCTTTTAACTACAGTCTAAAAAAATAGCAAATAAAAGTGAGTTACTGGTTCAAGAACTCTTTCCAATTTGTTTTCAAAACATACTGGTCGAGGGGTAGCTAGGTGGCGCAGTGGATAGAGCACCGGCCCTGAAGTCAGGACGACCTGAGTTCAAATGCGGCCTCGGACCAAACAACTTGACAATAGCTGTGTGACCCTGGGCAAGTCACTTAACCCCAATTGCCTAAAAATTAAAAAAAAAAAAACATACTGGTCATAGACATCCAGTTCTCACTAGTGCATATCCACTACTCATTATCTCCAATGTATTTCAGATGGAAACTAACTAATTTTTTACATCTGTATAAAGGAGTTATAGAGATGTTAAACCATAAACTGAGCAGGTTATTAATTTGACAAAGAAGATAATTTTAAAAAGCCTTTCATCATGCTAAGTATGATGTACAAATATCACTTAGAGTTGCTTAGAGTATTTATTTCTGGAAAAGCCAAAACTACCAAGTGTAAAATGATTTGGGGAAGTGCCCTCCAGTGCTCTTAGCCTGTAGATACTATGTTTGAGGAACAATCTGTTAAGCAAGGATCTGGGGCAAAACTTAAAACTAAATCAGTGTACCCTGCCTTCTCATCCCTTGGTTCACTGGGCGAATCTTGGCAAATTCGGTTGTATTGCTAAAATAATTGGTCAGTTTTAATCAAACAAGTATTAAATATCAGTAAAACAAAACTTACATACCCCCCCCCCAAAAAAAAAATTTTTTTTTTTAATCTATACTTTGAATTGGCTGGCTGTTTGACTGAATTTGTGTAACTGGCCATGCCATCAAAATGGCTAGTTCAGTAACCCTTGTAAAACACAGTCTTTGTCTCATCTACCAGTTTTCCCTAAGAGAATGTGGTACAAACAAGCTTATGTGATTGAATCACAGTATTTAAATAATTGCTACTATACCTGTAACTCTTATATTATTCTCTTTTTCGATAGTGCAAAGAAGGTGGCTTTCCACAAGAGCTCTGGTTGGGAGTCAGTGCTGAAGCAGTGTCTGTATACAAGCGTGGAGAGGGCAGGCCTCTCGAGGTATTCCAGTATGAACATATCCTATCCTTCGGGGCACCACTGGCAAATACATACAAGATCGTGGTTGATGAGAGGGAACTGCTTTTCGAAACCAGTGAGGTAAGCTGTGACAATAAATATTAATGTCATAAACATCTTGAGTTGGTCAGATCATTGTATTTAAATATATTTCATCTTCAATAAATGCAACATTAAGCTCTAGTTAGTTAGCCAGATGTTTATTGCTTTTAGTGTATACCATAAAGAGCAAACACTGTTATTCAGGTTTGTGAGTAGAGAGAGCAATGCAAAGAACAAGAAGAAAATTATAATCGTGTTGACAGGAAGACATAAAAAGTAAAGAACTATGGACCTGTGGTTTCATGGGTGTGGAGAACCCTGGAAATCCCTCTAAAATCACCATCTTATCTCGTCACTTGTCTTATCAGAGTTGTCCAGGCACTCAAGTTAAATGATTTGCACAGGGTCACTGTTTCTCTGTGTGCTTTTATTACCAAATGGAGTGTCAAAAGTTAAAAGAAACACCTACGTTGATGTCCTTGGAACATTAATTGATTGATCAATTAAATAGGGATTTTAACTTTAACAGGGTTTTTACCATATATTTTTATATCATTGGAGATACATATTATTGAATATAATATTCCATTTTTATGTATTAAAACCTGCTTAATGGTTAGTTTAAATATGATAGTACCAGTGGGAAGAATGTTTCATACGTGACCATGATTTTCACTTCATCTCAGCTTAGAACAACAAAAGGTAATGATGACGGGCAGCTAAGCTTTTGCCACAACCCGTGCAGCGTTTGAGCAAAGTCTCAGTCAGGGATTCCAACTCTCGGGCCCCTTAGTCTTGTCAAATGACAAACTTTGAAGTGTCCATTTGACAGGGGAACTCAGGAGATGGCTTATTTGTTGTGCTGCTGCATGTGGGAAGCTCATCATCTGGTCTGGACTCCCTTTGTTTTGTTGGACAGGTGGTGGATGTGGCCAAATTGATGAAAGCTTACATCAGCATGATTGTGAAGAAGCGCTACAGTAGCTCCCGGTCTGCGAGCAGTCACGGCAGTCAAGGGAGCTCCCGATGAAGAACGGGGCCAACCGCCAGGACTTTCATATCTGAACGTATCGCCTTCTGGCCTGGAAGAGCTCTGACCTGCTGATTGATTCAAGCCATCAGCAAAGCTACACAGGACATTGTAGAAGACCTTTGCAGGGGAAAGGTTTCTCCACAAGTCCTTACCAATGCCAACTTTAAAAATCATGTATTAAACTGTCAGCTTCACAGTCTGCAAAATTTCCAAAGCTTTATTACTTTTAGATGATACATGCCTTAAATATATGTGTATACGTGTGTGCGCGCGCGCGCGTGTGTGTGTGTGTGTGTGTGCTGCCATTGAGGTGGCGAAAAGTGCCTTCATCTTGTAAACCAACACTAATTGACCTTAACTGTGCTCCTGATGAGAGAGTCTTTCTTTCCATTCAGAAGAGTTAAGAAAACATGGAAGAGGGGAAGTTAATCCATCTATTATGCACTAACCTCCCAGCCAGACTTCCTTTGCTAGTGGTACAGTGAGGAATCTGAGGGATGAGGGAGAGGGAGGGGGAGGGGAACCAGAACCGTCTATTCTGCTTGGAGTGCTGCTGGCAGCCTTCTTCACAGACATTTAACTTTGGTTTATTCTTCTAAGTAGATGTGCTTGCAAATGCATGCGTGTTATATAAACTCTAATTTTATTTCATTTCTCATGAGCATTAAAAGCAAAGGGAATAATGATGTGCAATGGTGTAAACAGTCCTTCTGTACATTTTAATAGTTCAGAGTTATAGGTGTTCCAATTTTATGGTTACTTTATAAGGCAGTTTTATTAATAAGTCGGAATCCCAGATTTTCCTGTCTTTACTGTATTTCTCAACCACATTTTGACAGTTTTATTTTACATGTAGCAAGTCTGCATTCTGTATCTGCTGTATTATATACAGATAGGTAGCTGATAAGATCGTTGTATTTATACATTACCCTCATACAGAAATGCTGTTTTCAATACCATATGCCATACATGTGGGATCTTTAGTTTATAAAGTTTTAAGTATTAAATGTTACTCTAAAGGATACTATCTTTTAAAACTGTGGCCAGAGATTACAAAAGAACCCTGTTGGGATTGGGGAAAAGATCAAACTCTTGTAAAATGGAAGAGATCTTTTAAAGGAGCATGAAATTACATTGTGTTGTTTTAATTTTTTAAAATATATTATCCCAAGTTCTTAATAGTGGTCTTGACAAACACCTGTAAATAAATCCGCAATTATAACCAGAAAAAAGATCTGGTTTGGGACGTTTATTTTTATATGGAAAAGTTGTAATATAAGGCAAACTTGCATCAACAGCGATGAATCTGTGCATTAAGAGAATAAATGAAAGCCATTTTGGGCCTTTGCGACAAACCACAGCCTTTAAGAAATATTGCATATTTGCTCAAAGGAAGTCTGACAATAAAAGATCCTAGTTAACCTATTGTATTTTTTATCTTGTCTTTGTCATCAGCACACTTAATTGCATTGGATCTTAAGTAATCCTTCTGGTTTTTTTGTTTGTTTTGTTTGGTTTTTTTATTTGTGGTGTAGAGTGCACATACCATATACTAGATAACCAGTTCTTACGGCTTTGTTCACGTTAGCTACCTTGAGTGAAATTCTGGTTGATCTGCAGGAGAAATACAAAGAATTAGCAGTATGTTAGTTAAGTACAAATGCGCAAGGGAAAGGGTGTATTCAGTGTTCTTAAAACTGCTACATTCTGATGATCAAAGCTTTCCTTTAACACTTGGAGCCACTCATCGTGTACATTAGGCGTACACAATAGAAGACAAAAGAAATGAAACAATCCCAGTCCTCGGGGGTTTACAGCATCTTGTTGGAGAGAATTAACATGTACATAGTGTGTTCAGTATCTGAGGATTCAGTGACTTCAATACCCAAAAGGGCCTCATCTACAAGGAAGTAGCATAGCAAAAGCACCACAGATAGCATTCCCTAGTCAAGTCTCCAATGTGGAGACAGTTTCACTTTTGACCTTCATAATTTGAGGCTCTCCTCCGTTATCCCATCGTTGCTTGAGGCTCTTACCAATTCATTCTGTTTCTGTGACAGCTTTACAGACAGTATATGCAAAGTAGAAAAGAAAATCACAGATCTAGAGGTCATCTAATTCAACTGCCTCAATTTGCAGATGAAGAAATGGGACCCAGAAGGTTAGTGATTTGATCAAGGCATTACAGCTGGTTAGTTGTAATGCCAAGACTATATCCATGTCCTAACTTCTCAGATCATATTTTACCTGCTCCCCTAGATCTGCACCAGAAGGTGGGGGTAGGGTCCCAATATAGATGGCCAACTTCTGCATCAAGGACAGTCAGGAGGAACAAAGTAGGGGAATGAAATCCAGATAAGAAAGAGACGTAATCTTTGGTCTGGTTAACAAAGTTGGTATAGTCAGTCAATAAACATTTATTAAGTACCTGCTATGTGCCTAAGTGCTAAGTGCTGAAGATACAAAGAAAAGATCATCTCTGTGCTTGAGTTCACAATCTAATAAAGAGATAACATTCAAATAACTACATGCAAACAAGTTATATACTGATGTGTGTGTACTTGTATGTAGTACATGTGCTATTAAGACATTTTCAGTCATGTCCAACTCTGTGACTGCTTTTGGAGGTTTTCTTGGCAGAGATAGTGGAATGGTTTGTCATTTTCTTTTCTAGCTCATTTTACAGATGAGGAAATGGAAGCAAACAGGATTAAGTGAGTTGCCCAGGGTCACACAGCTGGTAAGTGTCTGAGGCCAGATTTGAACTCAGGAAGAGAGGCTTTCTGACTCCAGTCCCTGCACGCTGTCTACTGCACCACCTAGCTGCCCCAGCATATGTGTATGGGTGTGTGTAGAGTTAACTATTGTATAGTACTATAGTATATGGTTATACTTAGCTACACTATTGTTGACTATATATAGCATATGTGGTTACATATATATGTATAGTATATGCATACATGTATGTACTTGTATATATGTACACATGTGTATATGGTAAACCCAAAAGAATCATATTGATTTAAGAGGAAAGGCTCAACAGAGCTTGTAGTCAGCGAGAGGATGCTCATGCTTAATAACTGGGGTCTGTCTAGTATCTGCTTTTCAACCTTACCTTGCCCCCTCAGAGTTCTGTTCCTTAATGTTTCACATGGCTGCAACCGCCCATGGACTGCACTGCCTCTCTGGACACTAATTGGTTGATGGACATTAACAAGGACATCAATCTATTTAATATTTACCTTGGAAAGCCTATTGGAAAAAAAAAAACTACATTTCGTATTCAAAGGAAATTGATTTTTATTCAATGTAAGTGAACATTTATTAAGTAGTTACTATGTGCCAGGTTCTGACGATAGCAAGATAGAAATAATGAGCTTTGTTCTCAAGGGGCTTGCATTTTGCTGGGGGAAAACAACATGTACCCAGTTAAATCAACACAATATAAATACACAGTAATTTCATGGGAAGGGGAGGAAGGGCAATCAGCACTAATTGGGGTGATCACAGAGGGCTTAGTAGAAGGTAACACTTGAGCTTTGAAGGATTTTGTGAAGCAGAAATAAAGGGTTGCGTTTCAGGAATGGGGGATAGCACAGGCAAAAGCACAGAGATGAGAAAGGGGATGTTGTGTAGGAGATAACAGTGATCAGGCCGATTTATCTGGAACATAAAGTGTGTAAAAGAAGATAACTTGCAGTAGGCCTAGCAAGGTAGTTTAAACAGATTGTGAAGGGCTCCACTTGCTAATTAAGAGATTGTATTTTATCTTAGGGGCAAGAGGGAGCCGCTGAAACTACCTGAGGAGGGGAATGATATGGTCAAACCTAGGCTTTGGGAATACCAATTTGGTAGCTCTGTAGAGGATGGGTTGTTATTGATGCTTTTTTTTTTTTTTTTTTTTTTTTTTGATTAGGCAGTGGGGTTAAGTGACTTGCCCAGGGACACACAGCTAGTAAGTGTTATGTGTCTGAGGCCAGATTTGAACTCGGGTCCTCCTGAATCCAGGGCCAGTGCTGTATCTACTGCGCCACCTAGCTGCCCCTTAGAGGATGGGTTGTTAAGGGGACAGCTTGGAGCCAGGGAGACCAATTAAGTTCCTGTTGTAAATAGTCCAGGGGAGAATTGAGGAGGCCCTGAACTGGGATGCTTGTGGTACAGGTGAAGAGAAGAGGGAAAATTTGAGAACTGTTAGGTAAAATCTCTAAAAACTGGCAAATCATTAGATAGGGGAGGGATCTTTCTTAGAAACCTGGGTAATTTTTTAGAAGGGTGGTGGTTATCTTCCATGGAAATAGGGAAGTTAGGAAGAAGAGTAAGTTTAGGGGGAAAGACAGTAATTCTGTATTGGATATGTTGATGGGATAGCCAAGTGATATCCAACAGATAGAGGTAAAGCGGTGAACAGGGAATACGTGGTTGGGAGTCATAAGCTTAGAACATAGTTGATCACTGCAAGATAAAGGGAGTAGAGAAGAAAGCCTAGGTCAGCCATCTAAAGGAACCCACACTTAAGGGATGGGACACAAATGGTTATCTTGCAAAGGAGATTGAGAAGGAATAGTCAGACTAGTAGAAAAAACCCTTGTCACCAAAATCACCCTGAAAATATCCATAAGCATTTTCTTAGTTCCCACAAATGAAAAACATGTACATGTTTGTGCTGACTTTTTTTATTCGAAGCATCATTTAGCAGTGAATGATTAAATGTATTTTTTTTATGAAGGAATCCCTCTACCTACGTGTTGACAATTTTTTAAATGCCCATGACAAATGCCAATGATTGTGATCATTAATTTTCAAGGATTAATATTATTAATATTATTCCAAGAATGTCATTTACTAAATGATACTAAATATCATTTACTAAAAACATATGAGAAAAGCAACAAGTAAACTGAGGAAATTCTGTCTCTGTCTTCAGTCTCTGGGGATACATAATAGGGTCCCAATAAATCATTATAGACTGAGTTTCCAAATTGTTGATCTAGAGGGTGGCATAGGAGTTCTCACGGGGTCTAAAGGAGGTTTCCTTTGAAAGCTGAAGCTTTGGCATAGGCCATAATCTCACTCAAGGAGGATCTAACTCCATAGAAACAAGCCTTTCCATCAGAGGAGAGCAAGGACAGCAAAAGATAAGATGTTCATGTGACTTTACTTAGTAAGGTCTGGACATTGCAGCGCCATATTTTCTAGCCACTGAAGCCTAGGTATGACATCTCAAAATAAATGTGTGCCATGGGGTAGAATTTTCTAGCACTAAAATTACATGAATTTAACAAAAGAATTAAGGGCCTATCATGAGAAGCACCATAAAATGCTCTGGTCAAGAAAAACTGGATGGAAGAAGGCCTGCCAATGACACAGAATGACTGGGTAACTAAATGCCTTCAGGCAACTCTCTGATGCTATTCAATGCAGAGGAGGCACTGATCTTCCTCAGTACAAGGAGTTTCTCATCTGGTGCTCCCTACACTGCTGAAATCAGAGATCTGGTCAAATTTTTTTTTAAAAATCCTCCACCTGCCTCTCTATTCATTGTATCCTAGGTTTCCTTTCTTGAGCACTTTACTCCTAGCCCTGATTCTGCATCCCTCTGTTCCCTACACTACCTCTGACTACTCGTCTCCCAGGGCGCTCTTCTTTTTAGTTTCAAATCTAGAGCATAATTGGAGTATTTGGTGTCATCTTGATTCCAATGGAGAGGAGTCAATAGGGTCTTGTAAGTGATAATTGCCATGATATCAGTACCTGAATCTGCCCGAGGTTACCTAGTACAGCTACATCAAGGTTAATGCAAGTTCTAATGATACAAATTTTGATTCAATTTAGTGTGAATTATAAAATGATAACATTACATTTAATGTGAGACAATTCAATTAATGTGAGGTGTTAAGTGAGTTAGTTGAGGGTTTTAACACACCACTGCATTTTCAATCTTGACTAGTATCATGAGTGGCCATGATGTGTACTATATTGCCAACAGTTGTATTTTTTTAAAAAATTAGAGCCATTAACACAATTAAGAAAAATAATTCTTTTTTTCCGAGGTTTTCTCTTTTTTAATCATTCATTTTGCTAAATATTTCCTTTTACACAAAATTTACCATTCATTTTTTAAAATTTTGAATTTGAAACTATGGCCCTCCCTCCTACCCCTGACCCATCCATTGAGAAGACAAGCAATATGATATCAATTATACATGTGAAGTCATGTAAAACATATTTCCACATTAACAATGTCACAAAAGAAAATGTACCAAAAAAATAAAGACCCGCAAAGAAAATAAAGAAAATTGAAGGAAAAAAGCATGCTAAAACCTGCTCTTAGAGTCCATCAATACTCTCTGGAGGTGGGTAGCATTTTTCATCTTGAGTCCTTTGAAATTGTTTTAGATCATTGTCTTAATCAGATTAACTCTGTTT